TCTTTCTTTTGTGTGAGTGTGTGTGTGTGTGTGTGTGTGTGTGTGTGTGTGTGTGGAGTCTCACTCCATCACCCAGGCGGGAGTACAGTGTCATGCTCATGGCCACCCCAGTATCAACCTACTGGGCTCCAGCATTCCTTCCGCCTCAGCCATCCAAGTAGCCGGAACTACAGGTGCATGCTACCACACTCAGCTTATTTTTGATTTATTGTAGAGACAAGGTCTCACCAAGTTGCCCAGGCTGGTCTCGAACCCGCGAACTCAGGCAATCTACTTGCTTCAGCCTCCCAAAGTGCTGGGATTATAGGGTGAGCCACCAAACCCAGCCAGGGCTTTTGCTTTCAGGAATTTCTTTGTAATTTGCTTATGTCTTTCTCATATATATTTCTCTGTCTCTCAGAGAGTATAAGCCAGTGCTTCTCAACTTAAACTGTGCGTTAGAATCATTTTAGGATGTTTTTAAAAATGGCTGGACCCACCTCCTGGAGACTGTGCTCTAATTGTTCAAGTGTGGAGCCTAGGCATTAGTGTTTTGTAAAAGTACCTGACAAGATTCTGGATTTGACCAGAGTTGAAAGCCAGTGTTTTTAATGAATCAAGTGCCTACCTAGCTGACTATCTGAATATCTTGGGGAACTTTAAACACATACGTATAATTGCTCTGTTTAATGAAACAAAAGGAATTTTGAGGTTCTGAGAGAAGGAGAAAGAGGAGTGGTAAATGGCCCTCTGATTAATAGGTGTAAATCAGGAATTCCTGATGCTGGGGACAGCCAAAAGACTGTGGAGAATAAAGATAAGGATGTCTAATACTTTTTTGTGTCACTAAAAAAATTTTTATTAGAATAGTTATTTATAACATTTTTTACTGAAGCAAATGTATTATGTATTAAATAACCCATCATAACTCACTGTTCATTTCTAGGTACAATGGGAAACACAGCCCTCTGTCTGTAGTGGGAAATGCAGCCATCTATATTATTAAGTTGTTTACTCTGTTATACTTTGGTGTAAGCCTATTCTGTTGCCCTGAAATCTCAAGAGAAGGTTGCCACATACATGGATAAGGGATGCATGTCCTCACCCACATGCAGTGAATGTCCATTGCTCAGGTCTCACTCAAGGAAACCCTAATTCGGTAGGTTCAGAATAAGGCCCTGAAACCAGTACTTCAAGCCTTCCCCAGACCATTGTGGTGATTGGCCACATTTGGCCACCACTGCCTTACTGGTGATAAAACATCACTAGATGTAATTCATCCCATTGATAGCTGGACAATGGTAAAACTGAGTTTTTGCAACAGAGGGGAAATGAAAGCCCTACTTCAGATCTACCTGTTGTTTGTCTCTTTAAGAGGTCATATGAAGGAAGAATTACCTTTCTGAAATAGAACAAAAGATCAAGAAGAACATATCCAGAGTAATAATTTTTAGAATGTTTAAAGCAGACTTCATCTACTGTAATATGAAATATAAGAGAGGAAGCATGGCATATGTTATCAACAAGCATGATAAACTAGCTCAAAGATTTTGTTCATCAATCAATTACTGAGCACTTGCTAAGAGATGAGGACTTAGCTGGGTCCTGAAAATTCAGAGTATGGTATTTTCTCAAGGAATCTACAATCTGGAGAGCACCAATAATTACATTACAGTGGGAGAAGAGTGGAAGAGCATACAAATAACAAGCATAGGCCCACTCCATGAAGGATTATAGGTGAGGGGAGATAGAAGCAGAAAACAAAACAAGATAGCATCTTTGAAAAATAGAATGATTAGATATGGGGCAAATGGAAGGAAAGAAACATTTCTTGTCAGAATGAATGGGAACTCTGTACACAGGCACAGAGGCTTAAAACAGCATGGTATATTGCCTAAATTACCAATGGTTCTATAATGCTGTCCTGTAATGTTCTAGAGGAGTTGAAGGCTGGAGGAAGCAAATGGTAGGGTTTGTGATGTGTCAAACTTTACTCACCTACAACAGCCTAGTCATTCTTGTATTATAAGTTCCTAGACTGGCCATAAAATGCTAGATGAGCCAGGCGTGGTGGCTCATGCCTGTAATCCCAGTACTTTGGGAGGTAGAGACAAGAGGATTATCTGAGCTTAGAGGGTCGAGACCAGCCTGGGCAACTATCAAGACTTTGTCTCTACAGTAAATCAAAAAAATTTGCTGAGCGTGGTGGTGTATACCTATGGTTCTAACTACTTGGACAACTGAGGTGGAAGGATCGCCTGAACCCAGCAGGTCGAGGCTGCAGTGTTGTGAGCATGCCACTGCACTCCAGCCTGGGTAACAGAGTGAGACGCTGACTCAAAAAAAAAAAAAAAAAAGTTAGAGAGGTGGCCAACTAGGCTTGCTAGTCCACAAGACATATAATCTTTATTTGTCCTATTCTGTTGCAAATTTATCTTTATCCGGATTTATAATTTTTTAGTACATTTGTGCTGCTATAACAAAATGCCATAGACTGGGTAATTTATAAGCAATAGAAATTTATTTCTCAGCTGGGCTCAGTGGCTCAGCCTGTAATCCCGCGCTTTGGGAGGCTTGGGTGAGTGGATTGCCTGAGCCCGTAGGTTCGAGACCCACCTGGGCAACTTGGCAAGATCTCATTTCTACAATAAATCAAAAAATCAGTTGGGCATGGTAGCACATGACTGTAATTCCAGCTACTTGGAAGGCTGAGGCGGATGGATCTCTGGAGCCCAGTGGGTCAAGGCTGCAGTAGCTGGGAGTGGTCACTGTCCTCCAGTCTGGGTGACAGAGTGAGACTCCAACTCAAAAAAAAAAAATTTATTTCTCACGGTTCTGGAGGCTGAGAAGTCCTAAATCAAGGTGGGGACTGGTGAGAGCTCAGTCTCTCTGCTTCCAAGATAGTGCCTTGTTGGTACATCCTCTGGAGGGGAGGAATGCTGTATCATAGTGAAAAGGTAAGAAGGGGGACAAAAAGAGGCAACTTCTTCTGTCAAGCCCTTAAATAAGGGCACCTAATCCTTATGAGGTGCAGAGTCTTTGTGGTCAATCACCTTCTAAAGACCTCTTAAAGCTGTCACATTGAGGATTAAGTTTCAACATGAGTTTTAAAGAGGACAGAAACATTCAAACCAGAGAGCATTCTCATATCCTTGACTGTACTTGATTGTATTTGCTGCCATGATTTCCTTTTATTATAGGTTCTTGAATTTTTCAACCTCCTTGTACATGGGTACTTATTTTGCATGGTGTTTTGTGGTTAATCACACAAGCTTGATTTCAATTTGAATATGATTTCAGTTTAGTGAAAACCTGACTTTTCATCATGATGGGGTTGTACTGACCAATACTTGGAGTCCCCACGATCCCATGGTCACTACACAAACACATAACCATACATTCACATTAACCCCCGATTCCTCTACCGTTAACTTCTTCAGTTGGGAACACAGTTTAGTTGTTGTGCACTTAAATTATTATGAGATATATAGTTCAGGTGTCCAGATAAAGAATCATGTAACAAACACCAGCTTATTTACCACCCAGCTCAATCAGATCATAACATTTTGCTCTATTTGTGCTAATTCTTTTTTACAGACTAAAGCATTGCAGATACAGTTAGTAGAATTCCTTTAACAGGTTTTTCCCAGCCTCATTCCCCTTCTTCCCAGCAGTAACACCATCCTAATCTTAATGTTTGTCATTGTCATGAATACTATTATACTTTTACTACATTTATGTATTCACAACATGTACTGCTGCTTTAAAAGTTTTTAAACTTTGTGTAAATAACTGCATCCTCTAAGTCTCTGTCTGTACCTTGCTTTTTTATTGAAAATTAAGTCTTTGAGATTTATTGATGATGATACATTTAGCTTTAGTTAATTTCTTTTAATTACTACATAGTGTTCATGGTTTATAAATATACCAAATTGTATTTTTGTTGTTGTTGCATACAAGTAGACATTCGGACTTTTTAAAGTTTTTTACTAGTATAAAGCTGCAGCAGACATTCTTGTACACATCTCCATGCACATAAATATATTGAATTTTTATTCCTTAATCTTTTCTTTTACTTATGTAAGTACTGTTTACTAGATAGCAAGGAAAAATGCATCAACTACTCTAATCATCTAACAATGACAACATAATCCATTTTAAAACAATATTAATATAGTGCACTAATACTTTTAACTTGTAGCCTTTTACAAGGGTCACCAGTAATTTCCCTCATGGAGACATAAGCCCCAACTCTGAACCATAGAATAATTTAGGGAGTAATCAACTGTAAATGCAGAATTGGAAAGGAGGCTAATATAGCTTTAAGAAACTTGGGAACTGGGCATGGTGGCTCACACCTGTAATCCCAACACTTTGGGAGGCGGAGGCGAGAGGATTGCCTGAGTCCAGGGATTTGAGACCTGCCTGGTCAACTTGGCGAGATCTCATCTCTACAATAAATTAAGAAAAATTAGCTAGGCATGGTGGCGCATGCCTGTCCTTCCAGCTACTTGGAAGGCTGAAATGGAAGAATCGCCTGAGTACAGCAGATCGAGGCTGCAGTGACCATGAGCATGTCACTGCATTTCAGCCTGGGCAACAGAGTGAGACGCTGACTCAAAAAAAAAGAAGGAAACTTGGTGTCAGTTTAAGGACTGATCTTACCCTTTTTTCCGTTTTTTTGACATATAGCTGGTCAGAGTGGGCCTGATTTACCGTTCTCTAATATGGACCAAAAGACAACTGACTACAGTGTTTAGCCACTGAACTTAATCTGAGCTTTTATCAAAAGATACACATTACCTTCTTATTGCCCTGGGAAGGTATAAGTCACGTTTATATTGTTTTATTGATTTTGATTTCATTTTATTTATTAGTGCCTGCTAGATACGGAACAATCTGCGAGGTATTCCAGGGTATCCAAAAAAGGTCTCAGAACTTAGACTACAGCAAAGAGATGCTTAGGAATAATTGTCAGTAGGATTTTTGCATCTAAAATGGAGTTTGTATTTCCTCCCTAGTAACACTCAGGAAATGCTTGTCTCCTGCTGTTGATGAATAATTTCAGAGTACTATGGATCATGCTGAAGAAAATGAAATCCTTGCAGCAACCCAGAGGTACTATGTGGAAAGGCCTATCTTCAGTCATCCGGTCCTCCAAGAGAGACTACACAAGAAAGACAAGGTTTCGGATTCCATTGGGGATAAGCTGAAACAGGCATTCACGTATGTTGTATTTTAACCTACTTCTTTTATTGTATCATTCAGTGATGAGATAAGCAAGGTCAAATGTGTAAAGAAAATTGGTTTGGTAAAGTGGAGAAAAAATGAATGGAGAGGCTTCGTGGTTCACAACACGGTTTCCAGTGATTCAATCAGTATTAGATACCTGATTGAGCTGGGCTCAGTGACTCAAACCTATCATCCCAGCACGTTGGGAGGCGGAGGCGAGAGGATTGCCTGAGCCCAGGGGATTGAGACCAGCCTGGGCAACTTGGCGAGACTTTGTCTCCACAATAAATCAAAAAATTAGCCAGGCATGGTGGCATGTGCCTGTGGTTCCAGCTACTTGAAGGGCTGAGGTGGAAGGATCACCAGAGCCCAGCAGGTCGAGGCTGTGATGACTGTGAGCATGCCACTACACTGCAGCCTGGGCAACAGAGCGAGACTCTGACTCAAAAAAGAAAAAAAGATGTCTGCTTGAGCACATGCTTATCATGTATTTCACCATGTTTATTGAATTCCTACTGAGCCTTAGGTGTGCATAAATGTTAACATAACCTGCTTTCTGATTCTCCACTCACCTTCGAAGTACACTTTGTCTTCCAGGAATGCTCCAGCCACTCTGTCTTTTTTCCCATCCCTGATTTCTCCCCAGAAGCTACATCCTAAATCACTGATTGTGAATTTTGCCTTATCACTCCTAGATATGAGGAAGGGAAAATACCTTGATATGAATTCTACAGATATCATTTTTAACTTTGTCTTTCATTGTCCTTTCAGATGCACTCCTAAAAAAATAAGAAATATCATTTATATGTTTCTACCCATAACTAAATGGCTGCCAGCATACAAATTCAAGGAGTATGTGTTGGGTGACTTGGTCTCAGGCATAAGCACAGGGGTACTTCAGCTTCCTCAAGGTTAGTAGCATATATTTCTTTCTCTTTATTATTTATTTTTTTATTTTTTATTTTTTTTTGAGTCAGGATCTCACTGTATCACCCAGACTCGAGTGCAGTGGCACAATCACAGCTCACTATAGCCTTGAACTCCTGGGCTCAAGAAATCTTACCACCTCAGCCTCTTGAGTAAATGACACCATCGCACCCAGCCATTCTTTTTTACTTTTTTGTAGAGAAAGGGTCTCACTATGTTGCCCAGGCTGGGTCTGAACTCCTGGGCTCAAGAAATCCTCCTGCCTCGGCTTCCCAAAGTGCTGGGATTACAGGCATGAGCCACTGCACCCAGTTCCTCTCTTTTTTCCCTTGCTACCATCTCCTCAAACAGTTGGTTGACTGCGTTTGTTCATTCCATCATGATTGCAGATTCATAGTTTTTATTATATCACTCTAGTAACCTTTACCTGTCTAAAGGAATTCTTCAGAAACACTTAACTCTTAAAAAGTTTCAGAGGCCAGGCATGGTGGCTCACATCTATAATCCCAGCACTTTGGGAAGCCGAAGTGGGAGGATTGCTTGAGCCCAGGAGTTTAAGACCAGCCTGAACAACATAGTGAGACTTGTTTCTACAAATAATTTTTTTTTAAGTTTCAGGGATATTAATAGTAGAAAATTGTGATACTGTTTAGCTGATCAGTATACTAAATGGGCATTATTTACTGACCTCTTGCTAAGTCAGTCATTCAGTCAATATTTTGTTATGGCTGTTGTTAAGATTCTATGCTTTCAAGCCAATATTCCAGTTACAAGGGACCATGATATGCTGAATTCCTGTACAGCTCTGTGATTTTATATGTGATGTAAGAACTTAAGAAAGCATTTATTAACTTATTTATCTAAATGATACATGTTGATTAAGCACCTTCCTGGCTGTCCATGTCCTCATAGAGCTAACTGTCCAGTCAAGGGAGTGAGACACAAAGCAAATAAAGGCACATGTAAATTTTTTATTACAAATGATGATAAACACTATGAATGAAAAGGGGAGGTACTGTAAGATAATAATAGGGAGTCTAGGAAGGGAAGTCACAGAAACCTCTTTGAGGAAGTGAAGCTTGAGCTGACACCTGAGACAGGCCAAAGAAGAGAGAAATGCATTTCAGGCAGAAAGAGCAGCATTCATGAAAGTACTAGCAGGAAAAGAGTTGGGTGTGATTTGAAGAATTAATGGAAAGGCTGTGTGCTAGGATTGCAGGGAGCCAGGGGCAGTGGCTGGCAAGGCGAGCAGAGGCAGGCCTGCAGAGCCTTCTCAGGCCACTTTGGGATTCCATTCTGAGAGCAGTGAAAAGCTATCAACAGGCCTTTCATTTGGGTTTTCCTTGTAAGAGGTCATTGAGACTACTGTGTGGGGAGTGGTTTTGAGTGATGGGAGGGCTACCAGAATGTATGTGGGAGACGAGTTAGAGATGACGGTGGCGCAGTGCAGGCAAAGGTGATGCTGGCTGGACAGCTCTAGGTCAGCAGTACAAAAACCTATTCCTTTCTAGCCAATTTCCCAAAAATTAATTTGCCAAAAACATCACTTTCCAGCCAGGTGTGGTGGCTGAAGCCTATAATCCCAGCACTTTGGGAGGCCAAGGCGAGAGGATTGCCTAAGTTCAGGGGTTCGAGACCAGCCTGGGCAACTTGGTGAGACCTCATCTCTACAATAAATCAAAAAATAAGCCGAACATGATAGTGCACGCCTGTCATTCCAGCTACTTGGAAGGCTGAGGTGGAAGGATCACCTGAGCCCAGCAGGTCAGGGCTGTGGTGGCTGCAAATATGCCACTGCACTCTAGCCTGGGTGACAGAATGAGACTCCAACTCAAAAAAAAATATCACTTTCTTCAATGATCAGTTAGCCAATCATTAGTTTTCCAGGTGACTTATTTACCAAATTTATTAAATCTATTAAATAAAATCTTAAATCAGGTTTTGGACTGTTTCCGACTTTTTTTCTTTTTTTTCTTTTCTTTTTTTTTTTTTGAGTTGGGATTTCATTGTGTCACTCACCCAGGCTAGAGTGCCAAGGGCATGATTACAGCTCACCACAGTCGCAACCTCCTGGGCTCAGGTGATCTTTCCACCACAATATCCCAAGTAGCTGGCACTACAAGCATGCACCACTACGCCCAACAAATTCCCACAGCCATTCTGAAGGCATCATCCCAAGGACAGGGAAAGGGGCAGAGTCAGAGGCAAGAGCAAGTTAAACTGCAGATAAGATCTCAGTATTTGAAACAAGAAGCAGAAGCTTAACATGACATTCAGCCAAGCAGGGCTGGCAAAGCTGCAGCAAGTGACTCCATGAACCATGTAAACTCATATTCAGATCTTTAGGATTTTGCTTTAGTTGGGTTCTTATAGTCATTCCACAAACTTATTCTCAATCAGTCGACCTTCCATTTTGAGCTAGGGTGATGGCTATAAAAATAGAAAGAATTGGAAAAATATGTGTTATATTTTTTAAGAGCAGCAAGACTGGCTGTTGGAATAATTTGGGGAGAATGAGGAGGAGGTTACATCAAGAATAACTTTAAGGTGGCTAGGCTGATGAGTTGGATGTGGTGACAGTGAGAAAGAGGTATGGTAAGAATGACTCCTGGGTTTCTGTTTCAAATATCTGAGCGATGGAGGTGCCAATTGCAGACATGATAAAAATTGCAGGAATGGAACGGAAGGGTAAGTCTTATCATGTTAAATTTAATATGCTTGTGAGATAAAGAAGATATATCATGTTTAATATATGGTGAACTCAAAAGAGAGGTATGGGCTAGAGATATTAATTTTGGAATCTTTGACCTGTAGGTAGCATTTAAACCATGGCAGTAGACCAGGGAACCTAGGGAGAGAATGTGGAGTGAAAAGAGAATGGAACCAACATTAAACTTTGTCTAACACTGAAGGCCAAATAAAGAAGGAAGAACCAGCAGAAGAGACAGAAAATAAATGTATGGAAAGGGAGGAGGAAAATCAGGGATGTGTGTTATTACAGAAAGGAAGAAATTCTTTCAAAGCAGGGAATAATCCATCCAGTAAGTCAGACACCTCTGAGAGGCATAGATCATCTCACAATCAAATTTGTATCAAAATGGCATTAGTCTACACATCATTAATCGATGAAGATAGACAAATATGGAAAGCAAAATATAGCAAAGATAGAGATCCAAGCAAAAGTAAATACATTTCTTGTAATTGATAAATAATTTAAGTTACTGAAAATATTTTTTTGTTAAGCATGGCACACTGAATGCATGCTATACTTTTAACTCTAACTGACTTAAAATCCCTCAAAAATGATAGTAAAGAAGGGGGAGCCGGGATCGGTGGCTCAGCCTGTAATCTCGTGCCTTTGGGAGGCTGAGGTGAGTGGACTGCCTGAGCCTGCGGGTTCGAGACCCGCCTGGGCAACTTGGCGAGACCTCATCTTTACCATAAATCAAAAATTAGCTGGGCGTGGTAGCGCGCACCTGTAGTTCCAGCTACTTGGAAGGCTGAGGCAGAAGGATCGCCGGAGCCCAGCAGGTCGAGGCTGTGGTGGCCGGGAACAGCCACTGCACTTCAGTCTGGGTGACAGGGTGAGACTCCAACTCAAAAAAAAAAAGAAAGGGGAAATGGTATAAACTAGCAAGGACAAAGAATATGAGAGATAAGACATTGTGGAACAGGAAAAAAAAAAGATGGCAAGCAAAAGGACAATAACAACAGAATTATCAGAATAGAGGAAGCTGAAATATAAGTAAGTAGCCCACAGAACACTGGGAGATTGGAGACTCCAAGTTTTGTCAAAGCTGGAAGTCAGGAATTGGTTGAAATTCTGTGTAATAAGCATGTAGACAGGTCCCCACACCTACACCATGCAGTGGGTGGTAGGGTGAAAATACTGAGAGACGTAAGGAGGATAAGCAGAAGTCTGCACACTGAACTGTGAGCTGACAAAGACTGTTCCCTTGCCCTGCTCAGCTCCCAAGTGCCTACAAGAAAACGTATAGCCCAAGGCACATGGTGACCCATATAACACCAATAGTGGAAATCCCCCAGTGAAGATGTTGGCAGGCCACGCAGTTGCCCCACCAGAAGATCCATCAGTTAACACAGTGAACCAACACACGTGGAGCTTCAAGAAAGACAGAGACTAAACCATACAACAAGAAGGACAAATGTTATAGCTGGAATAAAATATTCAGTTGGATAAGGTAGAGGAAATCTCCTGGAAGTAGAAGAAAAAGATAAATAAATAGACACTAAGAGAGAACAAGGTAGCTGGGCTCGGTGGCTCGGCTGCGCCTTTGGGAGGCTGAGGTGAGCGGATTGCCTGAGCCTGCGGGTTTGAGACCCGCCTGGGCAGCAAGACCTCATCTCTACAATAAATCAAAAAGTCAGCCGGGCGTGGTAGCGCACGCCTGTAGTTCCGGCTACTTGGAAGGCTGAGGCGGAAGGATCGCCAGAGCCCAGCAGGTCGAGGCTGCGGTGGCCGGGAGCGGCCACTGCACTCCAGCCTGGGCGACAGAGTGAGACTCCAACTCAAAAAAAAAAAAGAGAGAGAGAACAGGTAAGAACACCAGAGGATCAATCCTGGTGTTCCATCGTACATCAGTCGGACTTCCAGAAAGAAAGAAGAGCAAAAACAAAAGGGAAGAAATTATCAAAGAATAATCCCCAGAACTGAAATACATACATTTTCAGACTGAGAGGAATTATTAAGTACCCAACAGAATGAATAAAAAATAAAGCAAGCACACCATAGTAAGATATCAGAACAACCAGAGTAGAGGATCCCAAAACTTTCTAGTAAGGAAAAGAAAAGTCACACAATTATGATATAACTAATGAAAAACTGTAAGGGCAAAAATAATAGAAAGTTAATAGTTTACATCTAAAATTGATAAATTAAGAAATAACAATACAAACATTATTTAGCACAAGACTCTCAACCCCGTGCCATTCACACTGTTATGGGGGGCTTTCCTGTGCAGTGCAGGATGTTTAGCAACATCCCTGGCCTCTGTCCCCTAAATGTCAGTAGCACCCTCATCCCCAAACCCATCATGATAATCAAAAATGTCAAATGTTCCCTTGAGGGTGTGACCTCTCCATTGAGCACTCTCCATTGAGAACTGCTGATTTAAGAAAATGGAGATAAACTGGGCTCGGTGGCTCAGCCTGTAATCCCGCACCTTTGGGAGGTTGAGGTGAGCAGATTGCCTGAGCCCGCGGGTTCGAGACCTGCCTGAGCAGTGAGACCTCATCTCTACAATAAATTAAAAAATCAGCCGGTCGTGGTAGCGCACGCCTGTAGTTCCAGCTACTGGGAAGGCAGAGGCGGAAGGATCGCCGGAGCCCAGCAGGTCAAGGCTGTGGTGTCCGGGAGCGGCCACTGTACTCCAGTCTGGGCGACGGAGTGAGACTCCAACTCAAAAAAAAAGAAAGAAAAGAAAATGGAGATAAATAGCAGAAAAGCAGCTACAAGAACTGGCAGTGATTGCCTCTGAGGAGTGGGACCTGGAGGGAGGGGAGTGAGGCAGAAGACATCTGGCTGTCCTGAGTGCCTTTCAAGTGCTGCTTGTCTTCTTAAACTGCATATGTGCATTTCTTTGCAAGAAATAATTTTTTTTTTCAAAAAGACAACATCCGAGTGACCAATATCATACATGAAATAAGGATGCTTTCCCAACTCTTCTTTTACTAAAGTTATTTTTTCACAGCATAACGGTGCATTGAGTTTTCTCATTGTCCCAGGTACTTGACTGAGCCCCCAAATAAGAGGTATTTGTTGCCCACAGTTCTAAAGAGGGATCCCAGACCATCTGTGCAAAACTGTGAGTGAATGATACCCAAACTGTCTATTTAGTGTATCACTTCAACAGAATATATAAGGAAATGGGGAGATTGATACAAGATTTGGAATGAGAATTTTCCAAAGAGAGGTTAAAGCCCTCTATATTACCCCTCCACATAAAGTCAAGTTAGGAAAGATTGCAAGAGAGCTACTCAGAGTACTGGACAGGGCCTCCTGGAGTTTGTGGAGACTGATGCCTAATTCTTGAATTTTTAAAAAAAATCCAGTTGCTTTTAAAAATGAAGTCTATCTTAATTCATAATTGCCAAACTTTGGAAACAAATAAGACATTCTTCAGTAGATGAATGGATAAATAAACTGTGGTATATCCAGACAATGGAATGTTATTCAGCACTAAAAAGAAATGAGTTTTCAAGCCACGAAAAGACACGGAGGAACCTTAAATGCTTATTACTAAGTAGAAGAAATCAATCTGTCATAGCTACATACTGGATGATCCCAACTATATAACATTCTGGGAGAGGCAAAACTATGGAGACAGCAAAAAGATCATTGATTTGTAGGGGTTAGCAGGGAGGAAGGGATGAATAGGTGGAGGACAGAGGATTTTCAGGGCAGCAAAACTATTCTATATTGTACTATAATGGTGACTGTCTTTGTACATTTGTGTAAAGTCTCTAGGTAAAGGAGGCTTAAACTTCCTAGGACATCAGAATGAAAAGAGTCCTCTAGAGGGTATGACCTGCACTTCCAAAGTTTCTTGGGATAAAATGCCGAGCTTTCCCATTGGATAACTGGTCAGGTTTGGCTCATTTGAAAGGTACCAGCCTGGGAAGGCTGCCTGCAGGATGAACATAGTCCAGCAGAAAGAACCTGGAAGACTGTACCTTCTGATGATAAGAGACCAAGGGGGAATCTAAGAGTCAGGTGGAGGGGGCACTGCATGGGCCTGGAGTAGTATAGTAGTTCCTTATAGCAAGGAGGTCTCCACAGAACCCACAGAAACTCCCCATTTGAGAAAGAGCTAGCTTTTGTGCGTCAACACCAGGTAACAACTGCAACCACTAAGTAAGACGTTTTCAGCTCTTATCAAATTTTTGGAAGAATAAAGCAGAAGAAAATCTACCTACTTGCAAAAAGGAGATGACAAGGAAAACTGTCTCATCCTGGACTCTGTAAGCATCAAGGTTGGTTGACATTCAGGACTGGGATAGGGACAGGTTGGACACATCAGCTTAAAAAAAATAGATTGTATTTGTTCATCAAAGATAACAACCAAGAGAAAAATACATGTAACCCCTCTGTTTTCTAATGATCTCCCATTTCTGTCTGGTTTTCATCCCACAGGTTTAGCTTTTGCAATGCTGGCAGCCGTGCCCCCAGTATTTGGCCTGTACTCTTCATTTTATCCTGTCATTATGTATTGTTTTTTTGGAACCTCCAGACACATATCCATAGGTAAAAGCTTACACTTATACTTGATATTCTAGTATCTTTCCTTTTGGATTTCCAAGCTTTGTGATGTGCCAGAGAAATAGTATGGTTGTTGTTAAAAATCTGCTTATTAACCAGTTTTGTTACTGTGTACATAATAGGTGCTTTAAAAATATATATTCCCCCTAAGATTTCTAAAACTTATACCTTGGGATAATAAAAAAGGCAATTTTCTTATGTAAAAGAGCAACGCTGAAATCTGTGGAATGAGATAAATGCTTTATTTCATAATATAATTTGCTTGCATCTGGTTTTCCTTTTTATATCAGTGGTAGTACTTTGAGCTTTTAGTTACTCGGCATGTATTTCATTTTCATCATATTTTAGGCTCTGAATTATACATGTTTTCTTTAGTTTATCAGATGTTTATGGATTTCATAATAGTGTTGGTGCTGCCTGAGGCCACCACGAGCAAATAAAACACACACACACACACACACACACACACACACACACACACACATACACACTTACACACACACACACTGCCCACACACCAAGAGCAGGATGCTGAAGGAGTACAGTGCAGTCTTCTTTCAAGAATGACTTACTGACCTCACCTATATCTTCAGCATGCTGCAACAACCACATCAGGTACTCTGAAGATAGTTTCCTTGAACCCCTGAACAGAGATCATTCATGCATCATTATTTTAGGTCCGTTTGCTGTTATTAGCCTGATGATTGGTGGTGTGGCTGTTCGATTAGTACCAGATGATATAGTCATTCCAGGAGGAGTAAATGCAACCAATGGCACAGAAGCCAGAGATGCTTTGAGAGTGAAAGTTGCCATGTCTGTGACCTTGCTCTCAGGAATCATTCAGGTAAGACTCAAAGATGGGGAAATGGGCTCTCATTTGTTAATCTAAGAAGTATCCATTGAGCTTTCTTGGCTAGTCTTACTACATGGGAGGCAGAGAATGAGCTGGCAAAACTCCAGAGCTCAGGGGTCACAGAACTCAGCAACACCAGTTCAACTGCATGTCTTATTTACAACTATGAGTGACTAGTATACAAGCTTCAACTGATAAAGATCTCAAAAGTAAGACAAGCTTGAAACAGCAGGATTGGTTAGTACTGGGAAGTGGACATCTCTTTGTACTTGGAAGGAGCAGCCAGTGATCAGGCACTATAGTCTACATAACAAAGCACCCTCTCCACCAGCTCCATGGGACAGGAAAGGCATGAGTGTGGCTGATATTCCGTGGGACTCCAAGCCACTCCAAACCTTCCATTGTTTTCTGCATAACAGTGATTGATTTGTTAGCTACTTACCTGCTGCAGGCCCACATCTGTAGTGTTAGAAACTGGTCCAGAAAGAACTAGCATGTTTTCTGTTGGTCATAAGTTCCTGGCCTGTCATGTGATTTATTTGTTTCTTTGTCATTAAAAAAATAGTTTTGCCTAGGTGTCTGTAGGTTCGGATTTGTGGCCATATATCTCACAGAACCTCTTGTCCGTGGGTTTACCACTGCGGCAGCTGTACATGTCTTCACCTCCATGTTAAAATACCTGTTCGGAGTCAAAACAAAGCGGTACAGTGGGATCTTTTCAGTGGTGTATGTAAGTAAGCAACTTTCTGACATACTGGTACCTGTTTTTCCTTCTGTACTTTCTCATTCTTTTCTGTATCTTTTTTACTTTCAAGGCTCTTTTTCCCCCCCCAAAGAATTTCCATAAAAAGGAAAAGATTCAGTTATTCTAAGGCTTTCTGGGAACAGTGCTGCAAGGAAGATTAAACCTTAAAATCCCATTTTATTGGTATGTGACACTGCCTACTTCACAAGAAATTTTTTTTTTAGATCTTTATTTGGCAACTGCACCATCACTCTAGTTAGGTGAAGAAATAGCTTTTTTTTTTTTTTGCAACTAAATCATGTTTTTTTTAGAAATTACAAATAATTTAAAGGCATAGTGGGATAATATATCTCTCTCAAAAACTGCCTACTCAAGCAGACAAAAATATAAGTAAGGCTATAAAAGATTTAACTTACCTAATTAACCAGTTTACTCTAATAAAAAATATATAGTGCCGGGCTCGGTGGCTCAGCCTGTACCCCGCACCTTTAGGAGGCTGAGGTGAGTGGATTGCCTGAGCCCGCGGGTTCGAGATCCGCCTGGGCAACTTGGCGAGACCTCATCTCTACAATAAATCAAAAATTAGCCGGGCATGGTAGCGCGCGCCTGTAGTTCCAGCTACTTGGAAGGCTGAGGCGGAAGGATCGCTGGAGCCCAGCAGGTCGAGGCTGCAATGGCCAACTCAAAACAAACAAACAAAATATATAGACCCTGTGCTCAACTCAGAGAAAATACAAATTATTTGCAAGCACCTAAGGAACAATGGTAATAAATGCTATGTTGAAATGGATCATGTGAAACTGATCACAAATTCTAAAAATTTAATATTTTTTCACACAGTGAAATCAGCAACTAAATATAACTTTTAAAATCCCCCATACCTTTAGAAACCAAAAATCATTTCTAAATGACTCAGGAATGAAGAGGAAATTAGAAAATAGTTAGAATTAATTGACAGTGGCAGTACCGCATATCATAACTTCTGAAATGCTGCGAAAGCTGTCCTTAGAAAAGTTTATAACCTTTGTAGGTATTTACATGTCAGACACTGCTAGCCACTGAGATACAACTGTGAGCTAAGTAGATATAACCTTTGCCCTCCAATGGGAAGACAGTATACCATTCATTGGTATTGAGTGCTATGGAAAAAAGGTACTGGTTGCTCTGAAAGTTGAACAGGGAGACCTTTAGATTAGGGGGTCTAAGAAAGGCACTTTGAAGAAGTGACATTTAAGTCCTTGATTGATTAGATTGATTAGATTAGAATCACACTGTAGGAATGTTCCCTAAATAACTAAATTCTTAGTTTCCCATAATAACTGGTAACATACTTCTTAAAATGCCTTGTCACAAAGGAAAGACAACATACAAGTATACCTGAGCACTCTAGGCATTGATAGGAAAAGGTGCGTGACCTGGGCTCCGTGGGGAGTCTACTTTATTGGGTTTCAAATGAGAACTGACTGCATTTGGGGTGCCCAGACTGTAACCCTAGGATATAATTAAGTGGCTTTCTTCTCTAGTTCTCCTGGGCTCCTTTCCAAACTTCAGCACTCTCTAGACTTCAAAGTCTTGCTAACAATAATGTCTCCTTCTTTACGCTCCTAAACGCTTTTCTATGTATTTACCTTTGGAGTACTTTGCTGATATCACCCCTTAATTTTTTCCTAATGCTCAGGACTCAGCTTCAGGATTCCTTTTCTGAATTTTAAATTCTGCATTGAGACACCAGCATATCAAAAAACACTATAAGATTGTCTGATAAGAATGACTACTAGTTGTATGACTAGGTAAAAATGCTTCCTAATTGGTGGAAACTACAAAGTGACATATTTTAGCCTGAGAGCTTTTCACTAGAAATGTCCAGTAATGGAATGGCTGGTCTGATTTGTGCACTGAATGTCTCTGTCTATTCAGGGACGATTTCTTGGTGTAAACATCCAGTATTCACTGTGTTACAGAGTACAGTTGCTGTGTTGCAGAATGTTAAAAACCTCAACGTGTGTTCCCTAGGCGTCGGGCTGTTGGTTTTTGGTGTGCTGTTGGGAGGCAAGGAGTTTAATGAGAGATTTAAAGAGAAATTGCCGGCACCCATTCCTTTAGAGTTCTTTGCGGTAAGTCAACTCAAAGTGATTACCTATTCCACTTCTACAATTGTATACACTTATTTCTGTAAGAGATTTTGAAGTGGATGAAAGAGGAACAGGGAGTTAGAAAGGCTTATTTCTTTCAGTTCTGCCCAAAGACTTTTAGAATTTGCAAAATAACTTACAAATTCACTGACAAAAAAATTAAAAAGAAAAAGCATAAAATAGGCAGAGATGATTTTTAAAATATATGTGAAAACCACACATGAAAATTTTAACATTATCTTTAAGTGATGGGATTATGGGGGGTTTGTTTTCCTCTCCTGCAGGGGAGGAGAGAGGCGGGGAGATAGAAACAGGTCCTGCTATGTTGGCCAGATTGATCTCAAACTTCTGATCTCAAGTGATCCTCCTACCTTGGCCTCCTAAAGTACTGAGATTACAGGCATGAGCCACCTTACCTGGCCTTGTTTTCCCCAAATTACTTTAACACCCTGAAAAAAAACAAAGGTGTTTCCATTTTGGTTTTGTGGCGGAGGGGATTTTGTCAAGGTCTCATTCTGTCACCCAGACTGGAGTGCAGTGACATGATCACTGCTCACCACAGCTTGACCTCCCAAACTCAGGCAATCCTCCTGCCTCGGCCTCCCAAAATTCTGGGATTACAGGAATGAACCACTGGGCCCTGCCTGTTTCCATTTTGAAAAGACAAATGTTCCCAAGCTTTCTCAGTTCCTTGGCACTCCTTAGCCAAAAGAAATGCTTCACAGTTCTATTTATTAAGTACTTAGGTCCAAACAGCTTAATACATATTTATGACTAACAACTTGGTAGTTATTTATAAAAGTATGCACATAAATTAGAATTTAAAATATTTTGTTATGTTCTTAAGTAACCACAATTATTTGTTCATGGAATGTACTGCACAAACCCTCAAACCTCGGAATCAGATTGGACCACTAACCTCTTTCCTGTTCACGTGGATTTTTGCATGATTACTGCTTTTTAGTCACAGCAACCCCTGAACACCCAGCTTGATAGAGATATGGCATTACTGAAAGAAACGCAGTGTAAGCTAATGTTTCGCCTGTGAAGTATAGCTGGAAGTTCGCACAGTGTCCGACAGATGTCACTGTTTCCTTTGGCACCCTAGGTCTCCTTTATGAGTGTTTGGGAGCCACAAGGATAAGAAATGGAAAGTATAAGTATCTGATCCAAATTTAGCAAAAAGTTCCAGCTACAGAAACAATTGGCTGGGATAGCTCACCAAGAAGCCATTCCCTTTGATACTTTTGCTTGGTCTTGTCTACATTGCATTAGTACCTTTCACCAGGCAAAATAAAAGACAGTCTCTAACAATCTCAAAATCTTTCTGTCACTGGGGCTGGGCACAGAATTTCTGTTTCCATTTGGAGTACAGCCGGCAGCTCTGAGCAGCTTTGCATGGGAAAAATGACAAGCAAGCCCTAATTAGGAAGTACATAATGAAGGTTGCATTTCCTGCCTTGGATAACTAGTTCTGACTTTAAAGATTTCTTCATATTTCCCAGAGGAACAGCTCTCCAGAATTCTATTTTTGTAATGACAGTTTTTCAATACTACCTTGGGGCAAATGAGAAACCATACTATAAAGTTTGAGGACAGGCTGGGCACAGTGGCTCACACCTATAATCCCAGCACTTTGGGAGGCCAAGGTGAGAGGATTGCCTGAGCTCATGGGTTTGAGACCAGCCCGGACAACTTGGTGAGACCTCATCTCTACAATAAATTAAAAAATTAGCTGGGAATGGTGGTGCATGTCTGTAGTTGTGGCTACTTGGAAGGCTGAGGCGGAAGGATCACCTGAACCCAGCAGGTTGAGCCTGCGGTGGCCATGAGTATGTCACTGCACTCCAGCCTGGGCAACAGAGTGAGAATCCAACTCAAAAAAGAAAAGAAAGTTTGAGGACAAAGGCCAGGCCAGGTGCAACCAGTGGCTCATGCCTATAATCTCAGAACTTTTAGAGGCCAAGGTGGGAGGATTACATGAGCCCAGGAGTTCGAGACCAGCCTGGGCAACATAGTGAGACTTCGTCTCTTCAAAAGATCAAAAAAATTAACTGGGCGTGGTAGTGTGCACCCATAGTCCCAACTACTCGGGAGGCTGAGGCAGAAGACTGACCTGAGCCCAGGAGGTTGAGACTGTGGTGAGCCATGATTGTGCCACTGCACTCCAGCCTGGGTAATAGAATGAGATCTCCAATTCAAAAGAAGAAGGAAGAAAGTTTAAGGGCAAAGTCTCTATGACTCTCCTTAATTATAAATATTTAAAATTTATTTATTTATTTATTTATGAGTCACGGTCTCACTCTGTCACTCAGGCTGGAATGCAGTGGCACACTCACGGACACCTCAGCCTTGACCTGCTGGGCTGAGGCGATCCTTCCTCCTCAGCCTTCCAAGTAACTGGAACCACAGGTGCACACCATCACTCCTGGCTAATTTTTTTTTTTTTTTTTTTTTTTTTTGGTAAAGATTAGGTCTAGCCAGGCCGGGCTTGGTGGCTTAGCCTGTAATCCCGTGCTTTGGGAGGTCAAGGTGAGTGGATTGCCTGAGCCTGCGGGTTCGAGACCCGCCTGGGCAACTTGGCAAGCCCTCATCTCTACAATAAATCAAAAAATTAGTCGGGCGTGGCAGCGCGCACCTGTAGTTCCAGTTACTTGGAAGGCTGAGACGGAAGGATCGCCGGAGCCCAGCGGGTCAAGGCTGCAGTGGCTGGGAGCGGCCACTGCACTCCAGTCTGGGTGACAGAATGAGACTCCAACTCAAAAACAAAAACAAAAACAAACAAACAAACAAAAAGATTAGGCACAAAATTGCCCAGGCTGGTCTCGAACCCCTGGACTCAGACAATCCTCTCACCTCCACTTCCCAAAGTGCTTGGATTACAGGCAAGAGCCACTGTGCCCAGCTAAAATTTATTTTTTTTATCATAAAAACATTTTCTGGTCAGGCTCGGTGGCTCAGTCTGTAATCCCAGCACTTTGGGAGGCCTAGGCGAGTGTAATTACCTGAGCCTGTGGGTTCGAGACCAGCCCAGGCAACTTGGCAAGACCTCATCTTTACAGTAAATCATAAAAATTAGCAGGGCATGGTAGCGTGCACCTGTAGTTCCGGCTGCTGAGGCAGAAGGCTCACCTGAGCCCAGCAGGTCAAGGCTGCAGTGTGGCCGTGAGTGTGCCACTGCACTCCAGTCTGTGTGACAGAGTGAAATTCTGACTCAAAAAAAAAACATTTTCTGAGTTTTGCATTCTATTGTAAAATATATCTATTTGTGTTGATAGGAAAACAATGGTTTGAATTATTCACTACCGCATAGAATTGCTGCTCCAGGAACTTGAGCCATATTTACCCTGTGAATTTGAGTATTCTGGGCACTTCTCCAGAGTGATATGCACAAGAAATATAATTAAGAGAGACAAACATAATTGCCACTAACAGAAAAGGGTCCCTCCATCAAAAGGGCCAGAAATACCCATGTCCTTGGTCTCTCAGGCTCCCTGTCTCTGATAATAAACTTACCTTATTAATGGTTCCTGCAGCAACCACCCCTGTGAGGGACCAGCTCCCTTGCCAGCCCTAATTCCATCTCTCCTGGTTAACCTACTCAGTTCTATAAGCAGTAGTTCCCAGAGATGAAGCAAATTGCTCTCTCATCTTTTGTCATGTTTCTCTTCTTGTAGCTCGCTAAGGGTTGTACTTTACATCTCAAGTGAATCTATGCCTTGACAATGCAGATGACCTTATGTACAGAGACATTCTATATGCTGTGCGGTTTCTCACTGACCCTGACTCTGTAGCAGAAATGGGAGAAGACAACTATGAGGAGTTGGTGGAGGCCTTGAGCCAAACTTGGGGCTTTTGTCCTAGAAGTAGAATCATCACGAGGATTCAAAATCCAAACATACCTTTTATAATGATACCATTCCATTGTACCATCTCACATTACACATTTAAATATCCTTTATTCAAAATATCTTGGCCAAAGACTTTTCATCTGCCCCAAAGACACGGTCAACTTCTGAGGGGTTTTATGGTCTCTTTCTGTTGCAGTCAACTAGCCAAACACCTCAGCATGGAGCAAAACAAAAAGAAAATTCCAGGCACTAAGAAAATGTAGAGCTCATTGTAACTACAGGGAGTAGAGTCATTAACAGAAGTTAGAATTGCTGGAAGCTAACAGTCATTGTTCTTTTTAAATCTGAACATTAACAGTGAGAATAGATTTGGCTTGGCTAATGAATTTGTTGAAACTGATTATTGTGGTGTTTGAATATTCATCTCTAAAGGTACACTTGGATTTATGTCTATTTTAGGTGGTAATGGGAACTGGCATTTCAGCTGGATTTAACTTGAAAGAATCATACAATGTGGATGTCGTTGGAACGCTTCCTCTGGGGTAGGAAAGTGGTTTTATTTTAACTAAAAGTGTGTGTTGAATGTTCAATGAATTTATTGTTTCTAACTCCTGCTTTAGTACTCTTGAAATGAAAAATAATCTTTTTTTCTACACATCAAAGAGTTAAAGGTTTTAGAGGTTTTTTAATTGTGATAAAAAAACACACACACACAAAGCAAATTTACCGTAATAACCTTTTTTTTTGAGTTGGAATCTCACTCTGTCGCCCAGGTTAGAGTGCAGTGGCACACTCACGGCCACCCAGTGTCAACTCGCTAGGCTCTAGTGATCCTTCTGCCTTAGCCTTCCAAGTAGCCAGAACCACAAGCACATGCTACCATGCCCAGCTAATTTTTTTATTTATTGTAGAGACAAGGTCTCACCATGTTGCCCAGGCTGGTCTCGAACCCGCGGGCTCAGACAATCCACTCGCCTTGGCCTCCCAAAGTACTGGGATTACAGGCTGAGCCACTGAGCTCACCCCATAATAACCATTTTTAAGTGTACAGTTCAATAGTGTTAAGTGTTAAGTATATTCACATTATAGTAAAACAGATCTCCAAGGACTTTTAGTTTTGTAAACAACTTCCTCTTTCCCCTTCCCCCAGGTTGTGATAACCACCATGCATCTTTCTGTTCTTATGACTTTGACTGCTCAAGGTACTTCATATAGGTGGATCATTCAGTATTCATTTTTTTTTTGACTGGCTTATTTCACTTAGCATAATGTCCTCAAGGTTATTCCATGTTGTAGCATGTGATGATATTTTCTTTCTTTTTTTTAAGACTGAATAATTTTCCATTGTATATGTTTACTGTATTTTCCTTTTTTTTTGTCTTCAGCTGTATATGTATATCCTGCATTTTTTTTCTCCATTCATCTATCAATGAACATTTTGGATGCTTCCATTTCTTGGCTATTGTGAACAGTGTTGCTATGAACATGAGTGTCCAAATATGTCTTCAAGATACTGTTTTCAATTCTTCAGGGTATATTCCCATAAGTGGGATTGTTGGATCTAAATTTTTTTGAGAAACCTCTATACTATTTTCCTTAGAATTGCACCATTTTACACTCCCACCAACAGCAAGTGGTTTTCGGTTTTCTTTTGTTTTCCTAAACTTAAGTTTTTAAAATGACTCCTTCAATGACATAGCAATTAAGAGCAAAATGACCTGAATCCTACCCTGCCATTTACTAACTGTGTGGCCTTAGGCAGGCCACTTATCCTTTCAGAGCCTCAGAGCCTCAGTTTCCTCACCTGCCAACAGGGCATGGTAATTTACATTCACCTGAGGGGTAGTGAGCACTACAGGAGATAATGCATTTAAGGCAGATGGTGAAGCACCTGGCACACACAGCAAGCATTGAAGACAAGCTAAGTGAAAGCTCTGCCAGGCGCAGTGACTCTCATCTGGAATCCCAGCACTTTGGGAGGCCAAGGTGAGAGAGGGTCACCTGAGCCCAGGAGTTTGAGACTGGGCAACTTGGCGAGACCTTGTCTCTACAATAAATAAATAAATGAATAAAATTAACTGGGTATGGTGGCACATGCCTGTGGTTCCAGCTTCTTGGAAGAGTAAGGCAGAAGGATGCCTTGAGCCCAGTAGGTCAAGGCTGTGGTGGCCATGATTGTGCCACTGTACTCCAGTCTGGGCAACAGAGTGAGCCTCTGACTCAAAAAAAAAAAAAAAGGGAAAGAAGAAAAAGCACTGAGGTTCGTTATTTCAATAAGTTTTCTAGTTTCCAATCATATGTCACTTCAGTAAGTTTTCTAGTTTTCAATCATATGTCACTTCTTTGCGTCATCTATATTATCTAACTCTATGTTTTAAAATGTATTATTCTCTTTATATTTGAAAGGGCCAGAGTGACTACCTCATCTCCTTATCTCACTTTGTCCCTCCCTGTCACTCCGTGGCTGTCACTTTCTGTATCTCTCAGTGTGTCTTTCTATCTCTTATCCTATCTCTCTCTGTCTTTTCTGTCACTGCTGTCTTCTCTCTTCCAAAAGAACAGAGTCAAGCATTTGCCCAGATGTTGGACACAGATGGAACCTGGCATGTCCCATCAGGACATCTAAGAGTCTTCTGGGCAGCAGAGGAAGTGGGGGTTGCTGTGTAACCCAACAGAGCAAGTGCTATGCGCTATACTTTTAAACTTCAGAACAATAAGTTGCTATCATGAACATGTTACTTATAATGCTTCAGTCTAAAGCTGTAACACAATAATAGCACCTTGTTTTTCGATTTGGACTTATAATTTATAAAGTACTTTTATATCCACCACCCCAGTTGATAATCCTGTTGACAGGCTGGGTTTAGTGGCTCAGCCTGTAATCCCAGCACTTTGGGAAGCCAAAGCAGGTGGATTGCCTGAGCCCATGGGTTTGAGACCAGCCTGGGTAACTTGGCGAGACCTCATCTCTACAATAAATACAAAATCAGTCGGGCTTGGGAGTGTGCACCTGTAGTTCCTGCTACTTGAAGACTGAGGTGGAAGGATCACCGGAGCCCAGCAGGTCGATGCTGGTGTGGCTGTGAGCGTGCCACTACACTCCAGCCTGGGTGGTGGAGTGAAACTCCAACTCAATAATAATAATAATAATAATCCTGTCGACAATATACATTATTATCCCCATTTTACAGAAAAGTATATTCTCGTTTACTCAACAGATGTTTATTGAGTGCCTATAGGTACTGGGGACATAGCAGTTAAAAACAGAAACAAACTCAGAAGCAAAAATGTCCATCCCCTGATAGAGTTTATAATCTACTAGTGAAGATAGACAATTGACCAATAAACAAATAATGAGAAGCAAAGTCAGGTAAGGGATAGGAGAGACGAGGGTTACTGTTTTAGGTAGAGTATCAGGGAAGGTGATATTTGAGAGACATGAATGAGGTATAGTGACTCACTGGGGAGCCCCAGCCTGGAACCAGAACTCAGTCTTCTGATACCCAATTGTGTACTCTTCCATTACCTCATACCTGGGTCTCTAACATAGTCATGTGGTAAGCATTCATCTTTGATTGGATCCAACAGATAATCCTATTCAGTTACTAGTTACAAATAATTTGATTAAATGTGAAATACTTATACTTAGATTTCCCTTTTAAAAAATATACTGATAGGGCTGGGTACAGTGGCTCACACCTTAATCCCAGCACATTGGGAGACCAAAGTGAGAGATTTGCCTGAGCCCAGGGGTTCAAGATCAGCCTGGGCAACTTGGCAAGACTTCATCTCTACAATAAATTAAAAAAAAAAAAAGATTAGCTGGGCATGGTGTCACATGCCTATGTTGATCTTCTTGGAAGGCTGAAGCAGAAGGATCACCTGAGCCCAGCAGGTCAAGGCTGTAGTAGCCATGAGTGTGCCACTGCGCTCCAGCCTGGGCAACAGAGACACTCCAACTCAGAAAAAAGAAGAAAACACACACACACACACGTTTAAATCTACATGTCACCATAATTTCTACTTACTACTTTTTTCCCCTATTGCATTATACTCAATATATTGCTTTCCTTCTATATGTGAGAGCTTAACTTTTAAAAAAAGAACATTTTACTTCCTGAAACTTGGCTACCCAGAAACCTTATCTTTCTGGAACTTTGCTCAAAACCAAACAGGTAACAAATGCCTAACTACCTACCTATCTACATACAGTCATAGTATTTCAGTTACCTGTGAGTCTTATTGCTACATAACAAAGTACCTCAAAAACAATACCTTAAAACAGCCATTGCCAATTTGTTCATAATTCTTTAGTCTCAGTTAGGCTCAACTGGGTGGCTCTTCTACTGATCTGTCCTGGGGTCTCTTGTGCTTCTGTAGATGTCTGAAGGTGTGACTGGTGCTGGAGCATCCAAAAGGGCTTCACTCACATGTCTGACACTTCAGCTGGAGTGACTGGAACACCTGAGGCTAACTAGCATCTTCTCTACACATGGTGTCTCCAGCAGGGTTGCTAGACCTCTTCCCGTGGTGGTTCATGGCACAAAAAAGAAGAGAATTTTCCGGCCTTCTTAAGTAACCCATAGAGCACCACTTCTACCACTATCTGTTATGCAAAGCAATTCACAAGCCCAGCCCAGATTTAGCTGGAAAAAAAAAACAGATTCCACTGCCAAATGGAAGAACAGCAGGCATGTACAAGCATGGGAGGAATGATTGGTGGCAATATTTGAAAACAAATGACCACACTACCATACATAAACTACCAGACGTAAATACATACACATTGCAGTGCCCAGAATGTGACACTTGGCTTAAAGATCATCATTATGGCAATATATCCTGGGTTTCCTTTTTATTTTTTTGGCTTACTTTCCTTAACTCATTCCAAAATACATCCTTTTCTTATATTCTTGTTCCTCAGGCCAAACTTGCTGCTAAGCCTTCCCCTTGGTTAATGATTAAATAGCCAAGCACAGAGGAAAGTTAACAAATTGTATGATCAGAACCCCTGGGTTTGATTCCTTACTCTGTCTTGGGCAAATTACTTAACATCTGTAGGCATTCATTTTTTACCTGTTAGTTGGGATAATAATGGTGTCTATCTCATGGAAACACTGTGAGGAAAAATGAAATGACCTATGTAAAGCGTGTAGCATGTAATCTAGCCTTAATAGAAGTTAGTTCCCTTTCCCTTTCTACCCTCCCTTTCCTTAATTAATAACTGGAAACATCCCTTCCATCACTGTAGTATGACATAGTAAGACAAATAGTAGTCGAGAGGCGGGTTCTTTGTGGTCCTGTTGTTCTTAATAAATGGACAAGTAGGTCAGGCTTGGTGGCTCAGCCTGTAATCCCGTGCTTTGGGAGGCTGAGGTAAGTGAATTGCCTGAGCCCGTGGGTTTGAGACCCACCTGGGGAACTTGGCAAGACTTCATCTCTACAATAAATCAAAAAAATTAGCCAGGCATGGTAGCGCGCACCTGTAGTTCCAGCTACTTGGAAGGCTGAGGCAGGATTGCTGGGGCCCAGCAGGTCGAGGCTGCAGTGGCTGGGAGCGGCCACTGCACTCCAGCCTGGGCGACTGAGTGAGACTCCAACTCAAAAAACAAATAAATAAATAAATGGACAAGTTGCTTAACCTCATTATGCCTCATTCTCTTCTTCTGTAAAATGGGGATTATAATGGTGCCTAGTTCACATGGCTATTGGAAATCATTAAGTGAGCACAGAACCTAGCACAGAGGAGGCACATAATAAATGATTATTATTGTAATAATTATAATTATTACTGTGTGTCAATTAAGTGACATTATTTGGCAGAATGTTTGAAAATCCCTATTGCCCCTTCCCCCATAACATTCTAGGGAATCTCTATTCTGTTTATTTTGGACAAAGGTTTCAAACTGCAAGCATGTACCCTAAAAGCTGGATTCCCCATTGTGGAGTCCAGGAATTACACTTTTGACTCCTCCAGACTCCCAGGATTCCCAGGTGAGACCCAAGGAATATAGTCTTCTGCTCCTTTTTCATGCTAGAAGCTCAACTAAAGGGATAAGGACACAGGAAGAGGTAATAGACTCAGAGACCCTTACATCTCATGACAAGTGAGAGAAGTGTGTCTACCTAATGTAAGGACAGTAACTCTCCTCTAAGATCACATGTCGAACACTCTCCTCACCTCAAGACTTGGGTTCAAATGCCTTGTGGCATCTGAACACTTTGCTGACCCTCTCTTCTTCCTAGTTCTGTGTCTTACTTACTCCTGCCATCAGGATGATTCGAAGTATGAGGTTACTCCTTTTGTAAATAAAACAGCATCTGATCTCGGCTGATAACCTATCCAGATCGAAAACTGCACTCTGCAGTTTGAGCCTGAAAAGAAGCTCTCTGTGTCGATGAGGGCTTTGTGTGTGTGTGTGTGTGTGTGTGTGTGTGTGTGTGTGTGTGTGTGTGTGTGTGTGTGTAACCAGAGCAAATAAGTAGCCAAACATTGATCACCTCATTTGCAGATATTTTCTCTCTAAAATGCTCCCTTCCTGTCACAGGTTTTTTTCCAAGTGGTCATGACACTACAGTTAAAATCAGTTTGACTTTTCAGGCTACTACCTCCAGCCAATCCTGACACCAGCCTCTTCCACCTTGTGTATGTGGATGCCATTGCCATAGCCATCGTTGGATTTTCAGTGACCATCTCAATGGCCAAGACCTTGGCAAATAAACATGGCTATCAGGTTGATGGCAATCAGGTAAACATTAACAATTTCCTGCAGATGCTTCATAGTAGTACATCATCAGGCACATGTTTGAGAGAGGACTCCCAAAAACCTGGAATTTATTGATTAAACATTGTGTATTCTTACATGTTTAAACTTCAATCACCTTCAAAGTACTCTCCATTTGATGCAATACACCTGTCAAGATGCGCAGTGTGGGTAGGTGCACTCAAAAATCACCCATCATCAAATGGGCAAACATGCTGAAACAGTCTCCACAAAAAATTCACTGAAGTCAAATGCAACCTCTCACAACAACACTAGCTGGAACACTGATGTGAATGGGTTCCTAGAACACTTACCTGGCAGGAAAAACCTGTACTACAAGGGATCCACCCTCCAAAAAATAATTCCAGTTTTTTGGGGGATCTCCCTTTGTACTAGACTCACCTCTCTTAGTAGAAAAATGTTTATGTTGGTATTGAATGTATTTGAAGTATGTATTTATTTAACACTATAATTTGTTCATTATTCATGAGCATTAGATGTTCAAAACTCTGAGGTTCAGAGTCCCATCTCACCTCATGGGCAGAGGTCCTGCCAGAAAGGTGGAATCTTTAATACAGAGCTTATAGTTTGTCACACTTCTTTTCATGTTATTCCTATTTTTAAGGCTCATAGTCTGGGAGTTAAACATTTTTGCAGAACCATTTCTGCTTCATAAGAAGGCTCATCTTTGTTCATTAAAATGTGGGTATATGATTGACCACTCAAACTCCACAGTATTCTCTTTGCCACTTTCTTTTATAACATAGCTACAGATAAAGTATTTATTTCAAACATTGTGAGCTATGATCTTGACACCCAATGTCTACTTTAACACCCTGTGTATTACTAAGGGGAAACTCTATGCTCCACATTTAAATGGGATGCAGTGATCAAACTAGAAATACCCAAGTAACCAAAATACCCAAGGACTAACTTGCCCCAGGAGGACACTGGCATGTACTCATTAGTGAGCAATAGTCCAGGTATTTAAAAGATGCCAATAGTCCTATATGCATTTAGCTTTCTCGTGAACAACAAAAATATTTTGTCCCCTTTATAGCAGTTTTCTTAATTAAAAGGCATTATTTGTCTAGAAAGTGTGTTTGGTAAAGAGGAGATTGGGTGGGGAGCGTAGCATTTATCTCTGGCACAACAAAAATTCTAAGTGTCTTCCCCCACTATAAAATATGCCATAATTCCTATTTTGAACTCATGCTAAAAAAACTCTTATGTCTGAAAAGAGAATGAAGAGGAAGCCTGTACTTCTGAAAATGTACATTAAATGGGCTGTTGTGCTTTTCTTCCTGAAGAATCACTTTTATCTTTTGTGTTTCATTTCTACATGGAAAAGGAGCTGATTGCCCTGGGACTGTGCAATTCCATTGGCTCACTCTTCCAGACCTTTTCAATTTCATGCTCCTTGTCTCGAAGCCTTGTTCAGGAGGGAACCGGAGGGAAGACACAGGTATGTATTTAACAAGCCTCTAAGAGCTGGTGATGTGGGTGGTAATTAAATTTTAGTCTCTTGATTCTATTCTGAATCCAAACAAAGCTATCTGCCTTTAGATCCATGCTCCAGTGAGCTGGGTAGTAAACCAGAGAAAAGAACGATTGTTTGAAGCAAATCACAAGGAACTAAATCTATAGGAAAGAGATAAATTCTCCAGTTAAATTGGCAAGTTATACAACACTTGGCTACCAATAAACCTCAAAGTTCAGATATGGGATGTTGTCATGAAAGCCCGAGACCGAGTATGGGCCGGATGCAAGCACCATGCATTAGAACTGTCTGCAATGATGAAAATGAAAATGATTAATGTTTACACTGTCCAGTATGGTAGCCACTAGTAACATGTGGCCTTGAGCACTTGAAATATGACTAGTATAACCAAGCTGAAATTTTAATTCTATTTAATTTTTTTTAATGTAAAATAGCCACTTGTGGCTAGTGGCTATCATATTGGACAGCAAACACTCATCTGAACTCTTCTGGGCCTGTGGATCTCTGGTTGGCACCAGACGTTTTACCCCCCCTCTGACAAGGGCATTTCAGTCAGGATATTTAAGCATTTTGGCTTCTGCTTAAAAACCATAAGAAGAACAAAAACTTCAAAGAGAGAGTGGGATGGAGTTAGAGGTTTATGTAATGGTTTAGATGACTTATGTGAATTCATATTTTCTGGATCTTCCTATAGTGATTATCTAAAGAATAAGAGCATTCTATACCCTACTTTTTATTCAAGTCTCCTAAAAGCCTTTTCCTTGTGTCTTCTCTCATTCAGCTGGCAGGTTGTTTGGCCTCATTAATGATTCTACTGGTCATATTAGCCACTGGATTCCTCTTTGAATCATTACCCCAGGTGTGTAACATGCACTTAGTGCAAGACTTTTCTGTGTGTAGAGATTTTGCTTGTTTATATATTTTTGACTATATTAGGGGTTTTACTGTAACTCCAGCAGGGTAGTATGAGAAAGGGCCAAGATTAGGACCAAGATTCTGCTCCATAATCTACTGACAGCTCCCCGTAGGACCTTGGGAAAGTCACCTCAACTGGGTCTGAGTTTCCTTATCTGAAAAATGAAGGTTTGGACTGGCTGACCTCCAAGGTCCTTCTTTGACCTTCTATGTTTGACCTTAAAAAGTCTGAAATGTCCTACAATCATAAGACATTTACTTGTTGGTATATTTAATCTAGTAGAGATCAGGAACAGTACAGAGTAGGGAAGATTATAATGTAAGAAGACAATGGGTGAAATGATTGCTTGAATATCAAGTTTAATTCTGAAACTCTCGACCACCATGCAGGTTTGCTAGCAAGATATAAGCCTGGTTTTGCAAGGCCCATTTTAAGTAACCATGTCCTGGAAATCCAGGAGTTCTTGAATCCAGATACCATCGGTACCAAGTTGGAATGAGTGGGGAGAGGATGTGGGGAGGGCAGCAGGAGGACAGTGCTCTGTGGACACAAGAGCAGGGGCATGAGGGAATGTGCTCTGTTTCAGGCTGTGCTGTCGGCCATTGTGATCGTCAACCTGAAAGGAATGTTTATGCAGTTTTCAGATCTCCCTTTTTTCTGGAGAACCAGCAAAATAGAACTGGTAAGTAACAAAAGTGATGGTTAGGTTAATACATATATCATAGCAGCAAATATATTTGCTGCTAATAAAAATATAAGAAAGATAAGTTAATGCAGTAAGTTGTCTGTGCAATATCCAGGTAGACAAGTAGCTTGTGGTGTGTGTGTGTATGTGTGTGTGTTTAACTCATATGGAATTTTTAACATGATTCTCCATGTTTTGTGTTTTTTTGTTTTTTTTTAAAGACCATCTGGCTTACCACTTTTGTGTCCTCCTTGTTCCTGGGATTAGACTATGGTTTGATTACTGCTGTGATCATTGCTCTGATGACTGTGATTTATAGAACACAAAGGTGAGTGTCCATATTGGAATGAGTACAAGTGACCTGGCTGAGGACAATGATGACTTTAAATATAGACAGAAGCTTGAATTGGTGAAAGTGGAGCCTTTTGGTTATTTCTGCTTGGCAGGAGAGGGAAGCACAATATTCATGTGGCCTGTTGACTAAATAAACAAAATGTCAAATTTAAAATTTCGTATTGTTTTCCTAAGTGCTCTATGTCACAACTTATGCTGCCATCAATGATTTTGCTAAAAGAGCCTAGTTTCCGTCATTATTTCTGCCATTCCTGACCCAGAGCTGCTCTATTCTAGCAAATTGATTTGGCACCAGGTGCTGACATGGGTTTCAATAACATAAAGCAAGCTGTGGCAACAAGTTATCATATGCCATTCTCCAGTTGTCCTTTCTCCATCATGATCCTCTCAGCTTTTATTCCCAGTAGGAAGCTGAGCCCACTAGGGAAGGTTTTAAATGTCCTTAAAAAAATACTATGATAAATAAATCACCATAAAGGTTAAAAGGACACATTATGTCATAAAAATAGCCTAGAATTTAGAGTCAGACAAACCTGGGTTCAAGTCCTGGCAGCACCTTTTGTAGATTCTGTGATTTTACATACGCTTTCAGAGATTCGGTTTCTGTGTCTGTAAAATGGGACTAATATTAGCTACCTCAAATAGTTACAAAAGACTTACTAATAAGTCAGAATAGACTTGCAGAGACCTGGCACCTGACCAGTACTATCTATGCAGCCAATGACAGCGCCCTTTCCTCTTTAACACAAAGGAGAATGAAAATGAGGTTAGTCTGGTTTTGCCTATCTGCAAATCACATGATATCTTAAAGTTTTGACTATGGTATGTTGAAAGACCACTGAATGGGGATGTTGAACCTAATCTGCAGAATGTCAGAATGCTCCCTACTCTTCAGAATAGGAAATAAACATTTTCATCATCAAAAATAACATTAAAAAAAGAAAAATGTTAAGAACATATGGGATTCTAAACTTAGGCTAAGAATCAAACTACTTTTAATAACAAATTTTAACAATGCTGCCAATTTGTATCTAAAAGAAATTTTCCACATTTTTATAAACAACATTATTAGTCCATATAAGAGTTCTTTATCTCAGAACTTTGGTGAACATTATTATTAAATACATCCTCTAACAAGCCACAGTGTGGAACTTGAGTTTTTGGGGTTTTTTTCTGAATAGGATTTTATGGTATCTTATCATATATTTTAAAATTGGGCATAAATACTACTCTTTCTTCCTCAAATAATTAACTAAGGTTTTTTTTTTGAATGTTTTGTCATTTGTTGGTGATTTTGCTGGGCCTTTGTAGATTAGAGCTTGGGAGATCAGCATTCAGGATACTTGTTCATTTCAGCTTCTTTTTCTGTAATTAGGTCTCACTTTCCAAGAGATGACTAACAGTGCATTGGTTTTGGCCTATTTTTCCAAACACTCAGTTTCCCTCAGAGCACACATAGTTAAGAGAGGACCATTTAGGATCCCTGCAGGCACTGAGCGGGTATAAATGTGATGGAGGCTCAGCTTTTGCCCCCAAAGAGCTCACAGTTTGGTCAGTGTTATAAAACATATACAGTAATCATAATTTTTGTTAAATACATATTTGTTGAGAGCCTGTTATGTTGCCAGAGAGATGCTAGGCCCTAGGGATATTGTGGTAAATAATACACAGTCCTTCTCTTTATAAAGGTTGCGTTCTCCTATGGATACACACATGTCATAGTGACAATGTTGATAACAATAATGAAGTAATAGTGGCACTAAGCTATTATCATTGCTTATGTGCCTGGCTCTGTGCAAAGTTCAATGCTTTAGGTCATTTCATCCTTACAGCCCAATGATTAGTCACATCCCCATATCACAGATGTGGAAGCTGAAGCCTAGAGTGACTGGGTAACTTAACCCAGGATCCCAGTTAAGCAGTGGGGCAGTGACTCAAATATGGGGTTTTGTGAATCCAGAAGCTGACTCTTAATCAGCATTTTATAATCCGTCTTTAAAAAAATTAAAATACACAGTTACAAGTGTTTCATTAGGTGTGACCAAGGTACAGTGTAGTAATATGCATAAGAGATGCCCAAATAAAACCCTATGGGAGTTTATAAAAAGGGCCTTTCTTGGCCTTTGCTGAGAGCAGTAGTATTTCAACTTGGAGAAATGAGATGCCAAGCCACTACAGGCAACCTGGACAGCCCATTCCTCCTCTGCCTGTTGAATCCTCATCTTCTGAGGCCAAGCTCGCCCAGCCATAAGGACCCCAACGTCTCTGTGTACCCACAGCAATACTCTGATGCTCCCCCAGCACCTTGTGTGTGTCCTTCGCAGTTAGTTGTGTACTTATGACTTATGTGATCTGTGTGCCCATTTGTCATTCCACCTCCCCCTCAGCACTAGATTGCAACACATGTATGGCCCTTTGAGTCTCTTAGAGGTTTTCTCAAAATTGAGAACTTAGCTGGGAATCTTGGTCTTTTTTTTTTCTTTCTTATTTTTAGTCTCTTGCCGAGGTTGGAGGACAGTGGCACAATGGTTCACAGTAACCTCAACCTCCTAGGCTCAGGCGATCTTTCTGCCTCAGCCTCCTGAGTAGCTGGGACTATAGGTGGGCGCTACCATGCCCGACTAATTGATACCTTGATGTTTTATCTACAATATCAGTCATTGGTACTGTATTTGTTCACAGATGTTACAAGACTGTGAGCATTTTGTTGTAGATGCGACATTCTCGGGCCCTGTACCAGGCGCATAATATGTATTCTCTGAATGCTTGTGGAGGAAATCCACCACAGATAACATTTGTGTTACATATTCTAATTTGTAAAGCACTTTCACATTCATGCTAAGAGGCACCAGGGCATAGCCACAAGAGCATGGAATGTCAAACCAAAGACTTTGAGCCATATTCTGGCTCTGCCAAGTTCTGTGACCTTGAACAACTCACCTAAACCCACCAAGCCTAAATTTCTCATTTACAATATGACAGGATTATTAATAATGTTAATTACTATAAAATTAATGATAATATTAATAATGCCTAGGAGCATTGTTCAAAGGATATATTAAAGTAATGCCAAGTGTTCAAGAAATAGTAAAATAGTATCTGTCATCACTGTATCTAATTTGAGTCAGACTGTCCTATAAAAAGAGTTAGGAATTAGGACCCTGAAAAAATAATGTTTAAGATCTATTTAAACCAAATTAGGAAAACTACGCGTATCTGAGATGTTTGTTTTCTCCTCACATTCTCAATTTAGTACCCCTGGCTGCTATGAGTCAGTGGCTGTTGCTCATGACAAACAAAAATTTCCTCTCCTACTTTAGAATGAGAGCAGGAGGACAATTCTATCTACTGAGTGACATGAGGAGAACTTGAGTTACACATGTCCTGGCATAACTGGAACTCTGCACAGTTCATTGTTGCCTCATTTTTAAATGTCTGAATTGCCTATCTTTTGTCCTGACCAGATTGTTTGTGCAGTATGGTATGGGGAAGAAGGGATGATGTGGGGTACATGTGTGTGTGATATGTATGAATTGTGTGTATGGGTATATATTGTGTGCATGGGTGTGTATTGTGTGTGAGTGGTATGTGAGGTTGTGTGTATATGTGGTCTGTGAGGTATATGTAGTGTGTGTATTGTATATGTGTGGTGTATATGCATGTGTTATGTGATATGTATGTGTGTGCATATTGTGTGTGTGCATGTTGTGTATGTGTGTCATTGTGTATGTGTGGTATGTGTTATGGCATGTGTGTGGTGTGTATACGTTGTGTATATGTATGTGTTTTGTGTATGTGTGTGGTATGTAAGGGAGGTGTGTGTTGTGTATGTGTGTATAGTATCTGGTATGTATGAGGGGGACCCCAAAAAACTGGAATTTATTTATTAAAAACTGTATTTATTCTCACATATTTAAACATCAGTAACCTTAAAGTACCCTCCATTTGATGCAATACGCCTATAGAGATGCTTTTTTCCCACTGCTCAAAACAGTTTTTGAACTAATTTTGATGCCTTTTAGTACTCCTTCCATTTTTTGTTTCACCTCTTCCACAGCAGCAAAACGTTTCTCTTTGAGGACTTTTTTCATTGAGGAGGCAAACAAAAAGTCACTCAGGGTGAGATCAGGTGAATAGGGAGGGTGGAACACACAAGGTCATACTGTTTATGGTCAAAAACTGCTGAACACTCAGCATGATGTGGGCAGGTACGTTATCATGGTGAAAAAACCAGTAACCCGTTTGCCACACCTCAGGACATTTCTCGAGAACACAGCCTGTCACAACAGTGCTAACTGATACACTGATACCAATGGGTTCCTAGGACATGTGCCTAGTGGGGGAAACCTGTACCACAAGGAGTCCACACTCCAAAAGATAATTCTGTTTTTGTTTTTTAATCCCCCTCATTTGCATTGTGTATGTGGTATGAGGTACGTGTGGTGTGTATGTGTGTGTGGTTTATGGTATGTATATATAGTGGGAGGTGTGTGAAATGTGAGATTGTGATATATATGGAGCCCTTCTGCAAAGACCATGTAAGGATCAAGTATTCCTGAATTAACTAGCAAATCCAGACATGGCATGTGAACATACAAAACCTTATATTTAAATCACATACTGCACATCAACACAATGTTATTTAACACACTCTCTATCTCCAGTCCGAGCTACAAAGTCCTTGGACAGCTTCCTGACACTGATGTGTATATTGATATAGACGCATATGAAGAGGTAGGACATTTTTCTATCATTTTCAAAAGTTGTAACCATGTGATATGACTGTCTAAGTACTATTTTTACCCAGAACAAAAAATAGGGTATAGGGGAGGGAGGTATAGTGGCCAAAGTAAAAAGTCTGAGCTTTGATTTACTGTCCAGATTCAGTTTTATAGTTTATACTATATGTTCACTACTCATTTTCCTAATATTTATTTTTCCCACTTTTAGTGGGGATAAATCAGTATTGTTTGAATTAAAGTATATATTTACAAAATATTGAAACTGAGAGGATGGTTTATATGTGCAGGATTTTTTCTGATGAATGTAAGCATGGTAAATACTAATTTTAACCATGTAAAATATAGGGGTAGGGCTGTTTAAGTCTCCCATTTCATTTTAATGGCTAAAATTATGGCTTCATATTTCTTTCATTTTGAATGTTCTTTTCTTCTGTGGTATCGCAAAGACTTCTACAAAAATTTTTGAAACTACTTTTGTCTGTTTGCTTTGTCTCATGCTTGAGAAGAAATTCTCAGACTCGGTATAAGGTATTAGAAAATGAGGAAATGAGACTCACTCTAAGGTATAGATGTTCAAATTCCTATTTTTTCTCCTCATTCCAAAGAATTACAAGCTGGATTATTCCTTTCCAAATTATATCCCAGAGTTGCATGAAGCTTCTCGATACAATACTTAGTTTCACTTGTGGCCATGTAGGCTCCTTCCTGCATTTCATCAGTCAAACCAGTGTAAACATCTGCTCACTTTCTTTGCCCACTTCTCACAGTCAGTCTGGTACCAATTTTCCCTCTCCTATCCATTTTCTTTTCTCTTTTAAAAATATTTTTCAGTTCCTTCTTCTTTGTCTTTAATGGCAAAAATAAGACCAAGACTGACTTTTAAAAGAAATAGGAAGATGTGCACTTGTAAAAGCTTTCCTCTCAGTACTCTTCCTTGAGCATGAGTTGATAGAGTGACATCAGCATATCTAATCCCTGAAAGAGGGCCCTTAGCAATGTCTGTGCTAATTTTCAAGTTGGAGGAGGGAAACAATTGCAGTTTTAATTCTGAAAATATTTTCATGTGTTAAGTTCACTAATATTTTTCTCCTCAGGTGAAAGAAATTCCTGGAATAAAAATATTCCAAATAAATGCCCCAATTTACTATGCAAATAGTGACTTGTATAGCAGCGCATTAAAAAGAAAGGTAAGACATGAGAAATTAGGAAATTAAGATTATTTCTGAGGAAGGGACTTGTAGGTTACAGGAATGTGAGTCATTTAAATGTCTGCATATACTCAGAACTAAATAGTATAGAAATTATATCTCTCTCCTCCTCCTCCTCCTCCTCCTCTCTCTCTCTACTTTTTTATTTTGGTAAAATATACATAACAAAATTTACCCTTTTAAGGATTTTCAAGTGTACAATTCAGTGAGTGGCATTAAGTACATTAAGTACATTTCTATGCATCCATCACCACTATTCATTCTCTTACCATATGCATATATTACCTTTTCAAAAAAATTTAAGAAAATAAAGTTGAAAAATTAGTTTTAGGTTTCTTACTCTTAGAATCATGTGGATTCCTTTGGTCATGATTGGAACTCAATCCTATACCACACAGCATAATAAGAAAACCTCCCCATCAGTCCACAGAGTCTCTTAAAGATAAGAATCTGAAAGATCTGACTTTGTAAAGGCCACTCTAAAAATTCTCTGTAGTACTTTAGCTTCTGGTTGTCTTGAATAAAGATTGAGAATAAAACAGGCTACTAACGTTCTTTTAATGAGGGAGTAAACAGTTCAGAGCAACTGAACTGCTGGATAGAGAGCAGTTGAATGGAGAGATCTGAAGAGGAATGGACTTTGGGTGGGTCCCTGGAGCCATGAAGTAAATTTTGCATATATTACTCTTCTGTAAAGACTGGAGTGAACCCAGCACTCATCATGGGAGCAAGAAGAAAGGCCATGAGGAAGTATGCTAAGGAAGTCGGAAATGCAAACTTGGCCAACGCGACTGTTGTCAAAGCGGTGAGTGGGCTTTTTGTTGTCATTTTCCCTTCTCTCTTGATGTGCAGTGCCCCACCTTGATTCATTATTGAAGTTTAAACACAGCATTAAGTTACTAAAACAGGAAAGCTTATAGACTAAGTATCCTCTATATATTGAAACTCCTTGATAGGGTTAGTTATGAGAATGTTTCTGAAATAAGTAGTGAAAATATTGTTTTAAAAAATGAAAATCAGGTCAGGCATGGTGGCTCATGCCTGTAATCCTAGTACTTTGGGAGGCCAAGACAGCAGAATTGCTTGAGGCCAGAAATTAGAGACCAGCCTGGGCAACATAGCAATATCTCATCTCTACTAAATTAGCTGAGCATGATAGCGCACATCTGTAGTCTCTGCTACTCTGGAGGCTGAGGCAGGAGAATCACTTGAGCCCAGGAGATCAGTGTTGCAGTGAGCTATGATCTTACCACTGCACTACAGCCTGGACAACGAAGTGGGATCCTGACTCAAAAATAAAATAAGCTAAAAATAAAAATCAGCTGGGCATGATGGCTCACGCCTGTAATCACAGCACTTTGGTAGGCGGGGGCAAGAGGATTGCCTAAGCCCAGAGGTTCAAGACCAGCCTGGGGAACTTGGTGAGACCTCATCTCTACAATAAATAAAAAGATTAGCTGGGTGTGGTGGCACACACCTGTAGATCCAGTCACTTGGAAGACTGAATTGGAAGGATTGCCTGAGCCCAGAAGGTCAAGGCTGCGGTGGGAGCGAGTGTGCCACTACACTCCAGCCTGGGCGACAGAGGAGATTCTGATTCAAAAATAAATAAATAAAGATAAAAATCACACAGTACCTTAATACATTTTGCCACTAGCACTTTGTCATAGACGTATTCAACTGATAGTTACAAAACTCAAAGGCTGGTCTTTACTGTTCAGGCTTTTTGTAACTTGTGGCCTCTCATATTGAAGTTAATGGAACTATTTTGGAAGTTAGGGAAAATGAATAGGATTTTGTTGGACAAGAAAGAGAGAAAGAAAGAGAGAGAGAGAAGGAGGAAGAGAAGAAAAGAAATTGGACTGAGCGTCATGGCTCAGCCTGTAATCCTAGCACTTTGGGAGACCAAGGCGAGAGGACTACCTGAGCCCAGGGATTTGAGACCAGCCTGGACAACTTGGTGAGACCTTGTCTCTTCAATAAATCCGCCGGAGCCCAGCAGGTCGAGGCTGCGGTGGCTAGGAGCGGCCACTGCACTCCAGTCTGGGCGACAGAGTGAGACTCCAACTCAAAATAAAATAAAATAAAATAAAATAAATCACAAAAAAAACTAGCCGGGTGTGGTGGCATGCGTCTGTAGTTTCAGCTACTTGGAAGGCTGAGACGAAAGGATCGCCGGAGTCCAGCAATTCAAGACTGCGGTGGCCGTGAGCATGGCACTACCCTTTAGGCTGGGTGACAGAGTGAGACTCCAACTCAAAAAAAAAGAAAGAAATTGAGCTAAAATTGAATGTTTTGCACACATCTTTTTTTGTCACATTACAAGGCTGGAATATGACAAATATTCTAGAAAGGATCTGGCATCGTCAGTAGCTTGAGAATTAAGGGCATATTTTCTGCTATAAATCTTTCTCACAACCGGCCAGGCACAGTAACTCTCACCTCTAATCCCAGCACTTTGGGAGGCTAAGGCAAGAGGATTGCTTGAGCACAGGAGTACGAGGCCAACCTAGGCAACATAGCAAGACATTGCCTCTAAAAAAAATTTAAAAATTAGCTGAGTGTGTTGGCATGCACCTTTAGTACTCAGGAGACTGAGGTGGTAGGGCAGCCTGAGCCCAGGAGGTCAAGGCTGTAGTGAGCTGTAATCATGCCACTGCACTCCAGCCTTTGACAGACAGAGTAAGAGTGAGACCTCACCTCAAAAAAAAAATCTTTCTTACGACCAAAGCTGTGAGTCGTTCATGGAATTCTGGTTTGGTTTGATTTTTGACATAGGATGCAGAAGTAGATGGAGAAGATGGTACGAAGCCTGAAGAAGAGGATGATGAAATAAAATATCCCCCAATAGTCATCAAAAATACACTTCCTGAAGAAATACAAAGATTTATGCCCCCAGGGGATAATGTCCACACCATCATTTTGGATTTTACACAAGTCAATTTTATCGATTCTGTTGGAGTAAAAACTCTGGCAGGGGTAAGCATCACCTTGAACAAGTCATTTAATATCATGTGCCCAGTGTCGCCATTTGTAAAATCAGGAACTTGAACTAGGGTCCCCATTCAACTCTTAAAATTCTTGTTGTTGTTGTTTTTCAACTTCTGATAATGGAAATTTTTATAAATATACAAAATTAAAGATTTTAGTATAATGAATTCCTGTGTAACTACCACTAAGCATTAGAATTAGCAGTTATTGATAGGGTCAATCTGGTTTCCTTTATACCTGACATCCATTTTCTTCTCTTATTTTGAAACACATCCCAGTCATCACATCATCTGTAAATATTTCAGCATCTCTCTTTACCAGAACATTCTTTTTATAAAGCAGGAACATAATATTCTGCACATGGTGGCACACACCTGTAATTCCAGCTACTTGGGAGGCCAAGGCAGGCAGTTCACATGAGCTCTGGAGTACAAGACCAGCCTGGGCAAAATAGTGAGAACTTCATGTATAAAAACTAAAAATAAAAATAATTTTTAAAATAATAGTATTTTAAAACTTTCATAATACCTTTATTACACACAGAAAATTTAAAATTTTTGAGACTCCTAATTATTACTGTCCATATGAAAAGAAATACAAAATTCTGTTGTTAAACAGATTAGCTTAAAAATGTATAAGTGAAGGAATGAGAGTGTCTTACATCACGGAAAAACATATTGGTAGGAACATATTGGTAGGAAATAACTGGCACAGAGTCAATATAAACTAAACTTTATTTCAACATTATTACAGATTGTAAAAGAATATGGAGACGTCGGTATTTATGTGTATTTAGCAGGATGCAGTGGTGAGTACGTTTCTAGGATGGGGAGAAGCTAACATTTAAATTTTGTTTCTCTTCTAGTAATAATTTCATTTGCAAATTTTCCCCTTAATTTAAAATTTTTATAAAAATGAAAACTATTCTTCTGAAAAAAAAGCACTCTCAAGCCAGCTTTGAGATTAGCCACTTAGAGACACTCATCTCACTAGTTGCTTGTGGCAGGCCTCCTGAACTGGAGTTGGAAGAAAGGAGCCAGGGCGCCAGTGTACTAATGGGGGCCCATCCTCCAAAAGATAATTCTGGGGTTGTTTTTTTTTTTCCTCTGTCATATATTTTGATTAAAACAGTGCTTGGAAATGAAACCTACATAAAGACATCTCTTTTCACCTGACAGATTAGCAAAATAAAAAATGGTTGACAGTATGCTCTGTAGGCATATGGTGGGAGAACAGGCTCTCTCAGACATTACTGGGAGGAGGAGTGCAAAATGGAACAGCCTCTATGGAGGGCAGACTAACCATCTTTCAGAATTACAAATGCAGGCCAGGTGCAGTGGCTCAAGCCTGTAATCCCAGCACTCTGGGAAGCAGAGGTGAGGGGATTGCCTGAGCCCACGGGTTCAAGAACAGCCTAGACAATTTGGCGAGACCTCATCTCTACAATAAATCAAAAAATTAGCCGAGTGTTGTAGCGCACACCTGTAGTTCTGGCTACTTGGAAGGCTGAGGCGGAAGGATTGCAGGAGTCCAGCAGGTGGGTGACTGTGAACGTGCCACTTGCACTACAGCCTGGGTAACAGTAAGACTGACTCAAAAAAAAAAAGAAGAATTACAAATGCATTTACCTTTTAACACAGCAGATCCAACAATATGTTCCACATGTTCAAAATGATACATGCATGTGGTTGATCAGCACAGCATTGTCTGTGAAAACTGAAGACTGGAAAAAGACCTCAAGTACCAAACAAAAGATACTAATCTAGAACATGCCTGTACAATAGAATACTATGTAGTGGTAAATACATAAATCAGTAAGTCTAAATAATATGCAATTGGGGGGCAGGAAAAGGGGGAAATGAGGATGTATTTTATATTTACTTGTATCTGCATAAAGAAATCTGGAAGAATGCATAAGACAGTAATTAAAGTAGCTTCTTAGGACTGGGGGTATGATGTGATGGAGCTAGGGATTGGAGTGAGTGTCTATAATAGTGTTTTAATGTCTAAACTGTATGGAAACATTGCTTTTCTTTCTTTTTTTTTTTTTTTTTTAATGTTCAAGACCAATACCCACAGTATGGACAAATTTTCTTCTCTTCTTTTAATAGCACAAGTTGTGAATGACCTCACTCGAAACAGATTTTTTGAAAATCCTGCCTTATGGGAGCTGTTGTTCCACAGCATTCATGATGCAGTCTTGGGCAGCCAGCTTCGAGAGGCGCTCGCGGAACAAGAGGCCTCAGCTCCACCTCTCCAGGAGGACTTGGAGCCCAATGCCACCCCTGCTGCTCCCGAGGCATAGATGAAGACCTCACCCTGGGATGGGGAGATGAGGACCTCACCCAGAGATGGAGTTATGAGCCTCTCGTGAAATTCCTCATTAACCCATTTTAAATACTAGACACTAGATTTTTTTCTAAGGGTAAATACTAGTAGTCAAGGCTTGATTTGGACGGTGAATGACGCATATCAAGATGTATCTTACTTGTGTTTATTTTTAACTGAACATTTCAAAGATAAATTGGCCTTTTGCCTGCATTTATTGTGCAGTGGCATTCTGTTACTTGTTGGTATTATCTTTGAAAAATTTATTTCCGATAAGTACTTTTCTTATGAATAGGCTGTGCTGTCACCTGATGAGTAGTGCTTCCTTGTTTTTGTACTTGTATGTCTACAGACTGTATAATCAGTTATCAAACAGAAGAGAGAAACTTGTAATTTTCTGGAAGTTCTTGTTTTAAAATAACGCTTTGTTGTTATAGAAATAATTAAAGTGCATTTTAGACATTTTGAAACAATAGCATACAAGCAAAAATAAGACAGTAACATTATATTTCTACCACTCAGAGATCATCACTGTTAACACCATATCCTTCCGGATCTTTTTCTATGCACATATATTTACATTTTTAACCAAAATAATATCATACCTACATAGTGTTTTATAATCTATTTTTCTTTAATCAACAATCTCTACTTTCTCATTCCACAACATTTTTACCTTAGAATATTTAAATTTCCTCAGTTGTCCCCAAATATGGGGTTGGTTTGTCCAAGCTGTTATTCATTCTATAATCTTACATTGCAAATGGCCATGTCTTTTTGAAGTTCTTTAAGTCTATTTTAATCTAGCACAGTTTTGTTTTTGTTTTTGGTTTTTGAATGACATTGTGCAGTTGTCTTGTAGAATCCCGTCTTGTGAATTTGTCTAGTTGGTATTTCATGGTGTGGTTTCTTTAGTTTCTTTATTCCCTGCAAGTTCTATCTAGAGGCTTCACACATGCTTTGTATTGTATCACATCAGAAAGCACGTACTATCTAGCTGACTTACCATTAACTAGGATCGATCGCTGGATTGGTATGACAGTCTGATCCTCCAATTAGGTTTTCCTCTTGATGACTCCAGTCTTATCCAAAAGGGGTTCCTTTGGCACTGAATGAATGTCCAGCTTCCCATTAGCCAGGGAACCCAGAAGTGTTAACATTGAGTAATAATTCTTACTTAAATCAGTTATTTTATTAAGGTTTGTGATTTTTTTTCTAATTCTCTAATTTCTTCTGTAATTATTAGATGGTTGTTATACAAACTATAGCTTTCTCTCCTCAAAAGTAGGTTGAATGCTTTATTTCCATTGAATTATCAGGTCCAGAATCGTTTTTTGTTTAGATTTTCTATTTTTTGGCATAATGGTAGTTTCATGAATATGTATAATATGTTTCAGTCCATTATATTCTTCTAAATGCCTAAGTTGTCACAACTGTGTCTAGAAGCATTATTGTTGCTAATAGTGAAGTAGCTTTAAAGACCATATTTCTAAGGAAGCTAACCCCCCCATGTATAGTTTAATATCTTTCTTAGAACTCCATAACAATTATCAGTTAATTATTCATCAAACTCAGTTTTTAGCCTATGAGGGAGCAAAATACTTAATCATTCCACAGGAATGTCAATGGTTGGAGCGGGAGTAATCTTTAAACCAATTTGTCATAGAAAGTTCTTGCTCTTATAGTTGTTTCTACCACTTCACTGTGTATCAAAGCACAGGCCTATCTGAAGTCTCCTCTGCTAAGAATTCCTGCTAATAGTGAGTTTGTCTGTTTTGTTTTATATGTTTTCTGACTGACTTGTTTTAGTTTTCAGAAATATGACATTGTCTGGAGAAAAGCTGTCAGATCCCGATAGAATTTTATTAGCATGGCCTACTTGGAAACAAACCCTATGGTGTGTTTAACTCCTATCAGGTTCCTCAATGTCTTTATTAATTTAATTCAAAATAGACTCCTCCTTCTAATCACTAGTTTATCTAGTTCTAGAATGAAATTAAATTTACATTATTTCCTTTGCAATCATCACACGCAAGATCAGATACATCTGCCTTCTGACACAGACTGCCTTCTGAAAAAGCATGTAGTTGTAGAACTTCAGCTTATACTAGAAACTTTTGTAAGGGACCTATATCATTTCAGCCATTTAAGTAGAAATTAAGGATTTTAAACAGTTATAAAATACTTCATTGCATTTTCTTTAGCATCAGCCAACAAATGCCTGTCATACAGTAGATTCTCGTGCTCCAGTGGTTGATAGATTGAAAGTAGTGTATCAAAAAGTATTTGTCTATAGCTTATAAATTTGTATTTAACTTTTCTGTTCTTTATCAACCTATTTTGAGTAAAATTCCATCATGTACATAAAAAAGCTTAAGTCTTAGTAAAGGTGGGAAAATATATTTTTGTTTTAGCAATTTGTTTAGCATCTCTGAGAATGAGTGCATTTCAAAACAAATTTCACCTATATGTAAATATGTCAGAGTGTTCTACATAGAATTATTTCATACAGTGTTAAATTTCCTGACCTTTAAACAAATATCTTACAATCTTGTCTCTGCCTTTCATAGAATTAATGTATAAGCCCACCTTTTCTTTCTGGGCCTTAATAGCTGCTAGTGTACGTGTGTCTCTATGTGTTTTTCAGCCCTGATTCAAATTCGGATTCATATCGCCCTATCAAAATGGGAATCATATACATTGACAGATACAGAAACTTAGACTAGCCTACTTTCATGGCAGTATGAGAAAGCCCTGTTCTGAAGGTCTCGTAAAGAGACTTTCTCAAATCCTGCACAGTATGACAGTTGTTGATCTCTGCCTCTTGAATAAATGGAATATGTTTGAAAACAATTATAAACTGGGACCCAGGAATTGCAAATTCATGTCATAGACACTGACTTTGTACAAGCACTCATCTGTAGTGGGATCCAGAGAAACAGTGAAGGGTATGGGTCCTCTTCAAGCCCTGGGAGTTGCTCATTTTGTAGTTTTCAGGCAATATCTAAAACATCCAGTCCACGTGTTTTCATCTTGTAGCCTTACCTGTGTAACAAAGAAGGTACCAGCCAGAATCTGCCCTCTTGTGTGCAAGAAGAAAATAGAGGGTAGCAAACCCAGAGAATCTGCCCTGGGGCGGGTATGTGTGTTTTCCTGTGTGTTGGGGGGTGGGGGGTGTGCCCTTGTGTGGGGATGAGAGAGGGTAGGGTGTGTGGTGGGAAGTCGCTATCAATTATGTCTGCCCCTTTAAAGATAGTGAATCTATTTAAATTTTAAAATCAAACAAAACTTCCTTTGTGTGAGCCTGTATGCTTTAGAGAGTGCAAAAATGCTGTTGGTCCTTCTTAGTGTACCTTTCAAGAATGCTTTTAGGATTCAGGATGTTTAGAGTCTTGATGTTTTGAATGCTCATGGAAGTGCTGAGAACTGACAAAGTATCATCTAATTCTCCAAACATATAGCCAGCCAAAATGCATGCAATGGTTTTGAAACTCCTCCAGTCTTAACAAAATGGTAAAAGCCAGCACCGCACCAGGTAACATCCCTGCTTGAATTTAATCAAGTTTGAGCATCTGAAAAATCCATCTTGCCTTTGAGAAAGGCTTACCAGATTTTCATTATAACAGTGTATAGCATAATACTTTATGTAACGGATAAACCTGAGAAGCGTCATGAAGATTAAGTTTTATAAATTGAATCACATTTTTTAATGTTAAAAAGTTTTTTTAAAGAAACTCTACAGCATATTTTCTAAAGTCACAAACCCTTTGTATCCTGATTTATCAGCATCCTGATATATGTATATATGTACGTGTCCACACACGTGTATGGGTACACACCTATGTTTTAGGTGGAGTTCCCAGTAAATGTATATTTTATCTTTTTAAATAAGATAAAAACATGTTAATCTAGTCAATGTTGATGTCTGCATACATATGCCTAGGCAGAAACACCCAAACTTCAAATAATTCATTGTATGATATGTGGTCAGATTTTCATCACGGACCTAACTGATATGTCAAGATTATTGTCTACATAATATTAGGCTTGAGTGAGCGCAACATGTCCAATTCTAGTTGTCTCAAATTGGTGTATATGAGCATGTGGCCATATGAAAAGTGGAGACTTCAGTGTGTTCTAAATGCTTAGATTTATCTAATCAAAACATTCAAAAAATCTAGTCATCTACTTGAGCATATCTTATTGAAAGCAGGACCTGAAAATAGTTTGCTCTATTTCATACCTCAAGAAATACTAGGGCAGGTTTAGAAAAAAGATGTATTTTTCTGATCAAGTTCACAAAAATAGAAAATCAAAAAAGAATGAATGTTGGTTGGCTTTTATGAACGAAGGGCTTTAACTTTTTTACTCAAAAACTTTAATAAATTTAAATATTTCAATGTAATAGCACTTTTGATGTTGTCAACTTCTCTTGTGAACTAAAAATTTATCTAACTCTTATTTTGCAACCTATTTATGAACAATTAACTTCAATAAAAATACTCGTTATTGTGCTTTGGTCTCAGTGCTGGGGCAAAGGAAGGGGTAATTGTGGTGGAAGATGGGATTTGGTGTTTTTTTTTTTGTTTTTTTTTTTTGGTGTCTCACTCCATTGCCCAGGCTGGAGTACAGTGTGGCACACACACAGCCACCCCAGCATCCACTTGGTGGGCTCCAGCGATCCTTCTGCCTCAGCCTTCCAAGTAGCATTCCAAGCGAATGCTATCACACCTGGCTAATTTTTTATTTATTGTAGAGACAAGATCTCACCAAGTTGCCTGGGCTGGTCTCGAACCCATGGGCTGAGGCAATCCACTCACCTCACCCTCCCAAAAGCTGAGCCACTGAGCCCAGTCAAGAGATCATTTTTAAGAAATCTGTTGAGGATTCTAATATAACCTTTATTTAAAAACACCTCATTGTAGATCACAAGTCTAACAGGAGCTTTACCAACATTTTAAACAACTAATAAAATGAAATTATCATTTTTCTCTGTATGAAGCCAATTCCAGATTTACTAAATTAGTTTATCATGTGCATACATTTTCTTTCTGCTTTACCTGTACCACCTTGCTGTTCTTTAAAATCACTAATTCTTCTTGATTAACTTGAAATTAGTCAAATGGCAAAACAAAACATATTACAGCAAATGTTTTTTCCACTTAAAAAACGGTTGGCCAAAGCTTTATTATTTAACATGGTAGAGGAAAAACTATCATAATGCATGTGGTCATATAAGCTATTTTGATGAGGGACAGAAGAGCATAATAGCAGCACAAGTAATGGAGCTGACAAACTTGAACTTCAATCCCAGCTCTACCACCAAAAGTAAATTAAGTAGGAAAGTTTTTGCATACATTAGATCAAGATCTATTTGATCATCTGCACTGGACAGATGGGGAATACAATGAGAACATATCTACAGCACCCAGTCAGCACATGCTTAGAACATACATGGTCTAAGCAAGCACCTTATATATGTGAAACCCTCAAATGGTAGGGGTCAAAAACAGTCAACATATAGTAAACAAGTTTTCTGCTTAATGACATTAGATATCACCTTTTATTGTAATACAGAGAAAAGAGATCTGGAAATAAGCATACAATTTTGAAGCCATTTATTTTTTTTTGCAAAGTGGTTATTAACAAGTCTATATAAGGTTAGGACTTCACTTATAAGTGTTTTCACTTGAAATCCTTCAGGACTCAGTTGTATGTCATGTAGCGGGGAGTAGCACTGAATTTGGCATAAGACTTAATGACCTTATTTACAGCTTCCAAGAAATCCTTTTCAGTAGCAATTTTTCGCCGTGCTCTGATGGCAAACATGCCAGCTTCTGTACAGACGCTTCTAATTTCAGCACCTTTCAAACAAAAAGATGACAGGCTTATTAAAGTCACTTTAACAGACAGACCAGTCACTTTAAGCAAGACCTTTCCACTTACCAGTACTATTTGGACACAGCCGTGCTAACAATTCAAATCTGATATCTCTTTCAACACTCATTGAACGGGCATGAATCTTAAAGATGTGAGTCCTACCCTGAAAATGAGGGAATTAGGAAATATTAAAATTGAAAAACATTACAGAAAGAAAAAAACTTCAAGTTTTTTCTAGAACCTTTTCTAAAATGAAATGGTTTTCTTACCTCTAGATCAGGTAAGCTAAATTCAATCTTTCTGTCCAATCTCCCTGGCCTCATCAGTGCTGGATCCAAAGTATCAGGTCTGTTAGTAGCCATCAGCACTTTAATATTGCCTCGAGGATCAAAACCATCCAGCTGATTGATCAGTTCCAACATTGTTCTCTGCACTTCATTGTCACCTCCAGCACCATCATCAAACCGAGCCCCTGAGACGACAAAAAGAAAAGCTCTTCAAGTCCACTCAGAGTAGCACTATGCGTAACTTGAAAATATTGGCTATCTCAGCTGAAATCATGCCCTCCAGCATAAGTGTGCACATCTCACTTTGAAACAAAGCCTACAAAAACTGCCTGCTTTCCACAAAACTAATTAGAAAGTGAATCTTGCCTATCAAAAGGATTCATCATAGATTACTCAACATAGTCTCCTTTAAAGTATTTTTTAAACTCTTTAAATAATTTTGTGTTTTGGCAGAGCGTGGTGGCTCATGCCTGTAATCTCAGCACTTTGGAGGCCTAGGTGCAAAGATCTCTTGCCCAAATGTTCGAGACCAGCCTAGGCAACATAGCAAGATCTCATCTCTACAAAAAAAAAAATTTTTTTTTTTGAGTTGCAGTCTTACTCTGTCGCCCAGGCTGGAGTGCAGTGGCACGCTCTCAGACACCCCAGCGTTGACCTGCTGGGCTCCGGTAATCCTTCCACCTCAGCCTTCCAAGTAGCTAGAGCTACAGGCACATGCTATCATACCCGGCTAATTTTTTGATTTATTGTAGAGATGAGGTCTCACCAAGTTGTCCAAGCTGGTTTCAAACCCATGGGCTCAGGCAATCCTCTCATCTTGGCCTCCCAAAGTGCTGGGATTATGAGCTTGAGCCACTGTTCCCAGCCATTTTTTTTTTTGAGTTGGAGTCTCACTCTATCACCCAAGCTGGAGTGCAATGGCATGCTCATAGCCATGGCAGCCTCGACCTGCTGGGCTCAGGTGATCCTTCCGGCTCAACCTTCCAAGTAGCTGGAATTACAGGCACACACCACATACCCAGCTAATTTTTTGATTTATTGTAGAGATGAAGTCTCGTCAAGTTGCTCAGGCTGGTCTCAAACCTGTGGGTTCTCATTTTGGCCTCCCAAAGTGGGATTATAGGTGTAAGCCACCGCGCCCAGCAAAAATTTAATTAGTCAGTCATGTTGGCACACGCCTGTAATCGTAGCACCTTGGGAGGCTGAAGCAGGAGGATCACTTGAACCCAGGAGGTTGAGGCTGCAGTGAGCTGTGATTGTGCCACTGCACTCCAGCCTGGGTGGCAGAATAAGACCCTGACTCAAAGAAAAAATTTTTTTTTTTGAATCACTCAAAAACGCCTGTTTGTTCAATACAATATACACCTGAATGAGGCAACAGAGTAACATGCAAACTTTAGCTCTATAACGATGTTTGATTATATGTTGAAAACTGTCACTATTCTAAATTTCCCAAAACTGCACTTTGAAATATGGCAAAATTCATAATACAGTAGAACCATAATCAAGCTGATCTGTATATACTAAAGTGTCCTAGGTTCTTGTCAGTCTCTCATTTCAACCAAAATAGGCAAAACAAAACAAAACTAGCCACCAAACAGAAATAATAGTATTTTCTTCCTGCATCCTAATAGACTATTTTATACACAATCCACTTGGAATTCACAGCTTCATAAGGCATACTCCAATGATACTATAAAAATGACTTCAGGCCGGGCTCGGTGGCTCAGCCTGTAATCCCGCACCTTGGGAGCCCGAAGTGAGTGAATTGCCTGAGCCCGCAGGTTTGAGACCCACCTGGGCAACTTAGCGAGACCTCATCTCTACAATAAATCAAAAAATTAGCCGGGCATGGTAGCGCGTGCCTTTAGTTCCAGCTACTTGAAAGGCTGAGGCGGAGGGATCGCCAGAGCCCAGCAGGTCGAGGCTGCGGTGGCTGGGAGCGGCCACTGCACTCCAGTGTGGGCGACAGAGTGAGACTCCAACTCAAAAAAAAATAACTTCAGAGTCACAACACTGTATCAATATACTGTGATCAAAGTATGGCCCTTGAAAACTGCAAAATGTCCAAACTCAACAACGTCCATCCAGTCTAAAAGCAAGACTCTAGATAACCACAGTACCTAGCAGTGTTATCAAAGTCCACTATATTTTAAAGTCATTTTTGACTTTAAGTTTATTAAATAATAACTGATGCCTGGACATATGACACTTCTTCAACTACTAAGGAGTACTGCTACTATAGACTGATTATAACAGTTGCAAATGCCTATAGGACAGTTAGCGTTTTTTTTCTTTTTGAGTTGGAGTCTCACTCTCACCCAGATTGGAGTGCAGTGGCCACTCCCAGGCACCGCAGCCTCGACCTGCTGGGCACCAGCGATCCTTCCACCTCAGCCTTCCAAGTAACTGGAACTATAGGCGTGCACTACCACACCTGGCTAATTTTTGATTTATTGTAGAGATGAGGTCTCACCAAGTTGCCCAGGTGGAACTCGAACCTGCGAGCTCAGGCAATTCACTCATCTCGGCCTCCCAAGTGCTGGGATTACAGGCTGAGCCACCGAGCCCAGCCAGAGTTTTCAAATCTACCATATTTATTACTTAATTTGAACCTCTCAAAAACTCATGAAATAGACAAAGCAGGAATTATCATTCTCTTTATGAGTTGAGCAAACTGAGGCTCACAAGTTAGTTAAAATAAATTGTCTAGATCTCATGGCTAATACTGTGAAGCCAACAAGTACATTATTTTATGTGAACTAAGAAAAGCCACCACCAATTAAATTTTGCCCCAATGCTTTCTTACCATATTTAAAGATGATGCATCTCAATTTAGGAGTTGTTAAAGTATAGAAATAAGTATTATATGAATTAGATATAGGTTGAGAATCCTAAATCTGAAAATCCAAAATTTAAAACTGTGAGCATCAACATGACACTCAAAGGAAATGCTCATTGAAGCGTTATAGATTTCAGATTTTCAGATTTGGGATACTCAACCAGTATAATGTAAATATGCCAAAATCCAAAGTATCTGAAATCCAAAACATTTCTAGTCCCTAACATTTTGAATAAGAGATATTCAAAAAAGATAAAGGTTCTAAAAAGTGTCCATGCTATATAATGTTTCTTTTTTCCTTTATACTTTAGCACTAATTTTTTTTAGCTCTGTGGATACAATGTTTCAGAGCTCATAAGAGTAGGAATTAAAATTTTGTACAAGATTAGCATATCAGAACGCTAACACATGTCACTTTAGAGCATTCATAAATCCCAATCCTAAAGCAGTTCTCTGAAATATCATTCATACCTCCAATAGCATCAATTTCATCAAAGAAGATAAGGCAGGCTTTTTTTGTTCTGGCCATTTCAAAGAGTTCACGAACCATTCGAGCCCCCTAATAAGAAAAATAATTTGTTAATTCAGAGTTGGTTTTAAAATCTTTTGAAAGACTGGCATCTGCTCCCTATTCCATCAAATTAATCTTACTAGCCTTAAAACACTATTAAGTAATTTCCATGATTCTACTTATCTATTAAATAGCAATAAGTTTAAGGCCTGAACAGGTCAAGTTAACAGTTAAGTAAAATAAAGGCAACATTCTAATCAGGAAATCTTGAGGAAATAAAGCATCTGATCTTTCACTTGAAATTCCTCTCCACTAAATTTGATTTGTTAGTCGTGATTGGGGAATGAAAGTATATCTCAACTCATGCAGCTCCTCATCTAATTCTTATTATAAATATGCTAATCATTCACAGGTTTCAGATAAAATGCATATAGCCCTAGACTGGCTCCCTAAATATATATGTCTATATACATATACACATTCTTTGTTTTTACTTTCTCATTAGAACATAACACCACCCCTGAAGGGAAAGTACACTTTTGAATTCATTCACCAGACATTTCTGTAAAAGCCACATCTGTAGAAAATGGTATCCTACTGAGTAGGGAACATATTTATTAAAATTTTAAGTGGTTGCCTATTTCCAAATGACCACAGGAAAAGCTGGTGACTTTTGGGTTTCTAAAACTACTAAGTACGATCAAGACATTTCAGGTCTCAATTCCTCAACGTAGAATTGCCATTTTTAATTTCATTCAAACTTTACAAATCTTTCACAGAACTGTACATTCTTTGATTTTGATAAATTTACTTTACCTCACCAACGTATTTCTGTACAAGCTCAGATCCAATAACTCGAATGAAGCAAGCATCAGTCCTATTAGCAACTGCCCGAGCACAAAGTGTCTTGCCTGTACCAGGTGGACCAAAGAGCAGCACACCCTTGGGAGGCTCAATGCCAAGATTAACAAACCTCTCTGGCTGTAATAGAGACACAAGTGATTTTTACACTTATCACTTCTGTATAATAAAAATAAGATTACTTCTACATCAATATATTTAAATCAAAATTATTAGGTCCATAATCTATATACTTGATCTAAAATAGAAATTTTACTTATTTTAAAATTTGAGCTCTAGACTAGACTCATAACAATACATAAAACTGAATGACTTTTAAAAGTGCTTCTAAGCTGGGCTCGGTGGCTCAGCCTGTAATCCCGCACCTTTGGGAGGCTGAGGTGAGTGGATTGCCTGAGCCCACGGGTTCGAGACCCGCCTGGGCAACTTGGCGAGACCTCATCTCTACAATAAATCAAAAAATTACCCGGTTGTGGTAGCGCGCGCCTGTAATTCCAGCTACTTGGAAGGCTGAGGCGGAAGGATCGCCAGAGCCCAGCAAGCAAGGCTGCAGTGGCCGGGAACGGCCACTGCACTCCAGTCTGGGCGACAGAGTGAGACTCCAACTCAAAAAAAAAAAAAAAATAAGTGAATGAACATTTTATTCTGTTTAAAACACACCTTGAAAGAGCCATGCTATGTCAAGGGTCATGCCACTCAATGTTCCATGAGGAAGTAGCGTTTTTGGAAACTTCCAAACCATCAAATGATGCATTCTGGATCACAACCGTGGAGCTCACTTACAGGGATAATCCCACCATGCCGTATATTTCTGTTAACTCAGCCATTGCCAGTCTAACCCTACCACCCCACCAAAACCTCTTGCCCAGGTCACTGAAGACCTCCATGTTAACAAATCTAATAGTGTCCCTTTTGTCTGCATCTAACTTCATCCTCCAACGGTATTCAACACAAGTGGTTACTCTCTGATCCAACAGTCTCCTTTCTCAGTTTTTGTGACAGTATACACTTTTACAAGTTCTCCATTATCTTTTACTGCTCCTCTTTGGTCTATTTTAAATATTCCTCCTTTGTCCAATATCTAAATTTTCAAGGGCCCCAGCACTAATTTCTGGGAGTTCTCTTTTCTTTATGTACTTTCTCTTTAAGTGAGCTCCTCTATTACCATGGCATTAAATATCATCTATATGTTGATTTCTTTCGTATTCATATCCCCAACCCAAAACTCAACTCTATATGCTAGACTCACATAATGAACTATTTAGACATCTACTTGGAGATCTCAGCGGCATCTTAAACTAATGCTGTTCAACACAGAGTGTTTCATTAGTACCCTGTTCCCTACCTCCTCTTTCCCAAATATAACTGCTCTTCTCCCAGTCTTTTCCATCTCATTAGAAGAAACCACGATCTACCAAGCTATTGAAACCAGAAACCAGAAAATAATTTTTGTTTCTGCTATCTCCCTTACCTCCAACATCTGATCAGCAAGTTCTGTAAAAAAATCTCTTCTTTTTTTTGAATTGGAATATCACTCTTGTGGCCCAGGCTGGAGTGCAGCGGCATGGCGATGGCCACCAGGGCCTCAAACTGCTGGGCTTAGGCAATCCTTCTGCCTCAGCTTTCCAAGTAACTGGAACTGCAGGTGTATACCACCACGCCTGGGTAGTTTGTTTGTTTGTTTATTGTAGAGGATGTGGTTTCACCAAGTTGCCCAGGCTGGTCTCGGGCAATCCTCTCACCTCAGCCTCCCAAAGTGCTGAGATTACAGGCTGAGCCACTGTACCCAGCCAAAAATCTCATTCTTGTCTACTCTTTTTTTAATTGTTATTGCCAATACCCTAGTCTAATCAGCCATCACTTCTTGCCCATACTACTATAATAAACTCTTTTGTTATTGTTGTTTGTTTGTTTTTTGAGTTGGTGTCTCTGTCGCTCAGGCTGGAGTGCAGTGGCATGCCCACGGCTACCACAACCTCGACCTGCTGGGCTCAGGCGATCCTTCTGCCTCAGCTTTCCAAGTAGCTGTAACCACAGGCGTGTGCCACCATGCCCAGCTAATTGATTGATCGATTGATTGATTGATTGTAGAGATGAGATCTCTCCAAGTTGCCCAGGCTGGTCTCGAACCCCAGGGATCAGGCAGTACTCTCACCTTGGCCTTCCAAACTGCTGAGATTACAGGCTTGAGCCACTGCACCAGGGCCTGGAATAAACTCTTATCTAATTATCCAGTGTATGTTCTCTCCTTCAATCTATTCTATACACATAAGCCAAAAAAACCTTTTAAAGGAGTTTTCCTTGCACTTTTTTTTTTTTTGAGTTGGAGTCTCACTCTGTCACCCAGACTAGAGTGCAGTGGCTGCTTCCGGCCACTGTAGCCTCGACCTGCAGGGCTCCAGCAATCCTTCCGCCTCAGCCTTCCAAGTAGCTGGAACTACAGGTGCTCGCTACCACGTCTGGCTAATTTTTTTGATTTATTGTAGAGCTGAGGTCTCGCCAAGTTGCCCAGGTGGGCCTCGAACCCGCGGGCTCCGGTAATCCACTCACCTCGGCCTCCTAAAGCACTGGGATTACAGGTTGAGCCACCGAGCCCGGCCTTTCCTTGTACCTTAAATGAAGTCCATACTCCTTACTAACGGCTACAAAGCTTTGTGTAATCTGGCCTTTGCTGCTTCCCCACCTCCTCTCAAGCCACTTTCCTTCAGTCCTAATAGTCATATTGTCTCCTTTCAGGTCTGTGAGCAAGGCAACTTTTTCCTGTCCCAGACCCCTAACACATGCTGGTTCTTCTGCCTGGAATTACTCTCTTTCTCTTACTTCTGGCTGTTCTTCACCAGGCTAATTTTTTAACAAAAACATCTTCATCTACAAGTCTTCTTTCCCTGACTACAACTTCTAAATATGCTCCCCTGTCATTCCCTACAACTGTTCTCTTATGTTTTCTTCATGCACCTATCACAAATTGATGTATATTTATTGACTATTTGCTTGTTGATTGGCTATCTCCCCTGTGGTACTTTAAACTCTATAAGGACAGAGCACCCGACTACCTCAGTTAGTAGATTATGGGACTCAAACTCTATAAGGGCATAGACAACATCTGTTTTATTCTATCGATGATGAATGCATTGCAAAATATCTAGCACAGTGCTTGGTACTTATGAGGGAGGACCCGCAAAAAAATCTGAATTATCTTTTGGAGAGCAGGCCTCTTGTTGTTCGAGCTTCCCCCACTGAGTAAGTGTTCTAGGAACCCACTGGCATCAATGTACCAGCTAGCATTGTTGTGAGAGGCTGCATCTGGCTTCTTTTTTTTTTTTTAAGAATCTTTTAACAGCCAGGCACAGTGGCTCATGCCTATAATCCCAGCACTTTGGGAGGCCGAAGCAAGAGGACTGCCAGAGCCCAGGGGTTTAATACCTGCCTTGGCAACATGGCAAGACTTTGTCTCTACAATAAATAAAAAACTTAGCCAGGCATGGTGGTGCATGCCTATAGTTCCAGCTACTTGGAAGGCTGAAGCGGAAGGATCGCCTGAGCCCAGGAGGTGAAGGCTGTGGTGGCCATGAGCATGCCACTGCACTCCAGCCTGGATGGCAGAGTGAGACTCTGACTCAAAAAAAAAAAAGAAAAAAAGATTCTTTTAACGCATTTACCCATTTCATGATGGGTGACTTACAAGCACACCTGCCCGCACCATGCTGAGTATTCAGCAGTTTTTGACCAAAAACAGCATGACCTTCATGCCCCATCCTTCCTATTCACCCTTTCTTGCCCTGAGCGACTTTTTTTGTTTCCCCAGATGAGAAAAGTCCTCAAAGGGAAACATTTTGCCCATGTGGAAGAGGTGAAACAAGATATGGCAGAAACACTAAAAGGCATTAAAATTGATAAATTCAAAAACAGTTTTGAGCAGTGGAAAAAACGTCTCGATAGGTGTATTGCATCAAACGGAGAGCACTTTTGAGGTGACTGAAGTTTAAACATGTAAGAATACATACACAATATTTTATCAAGAAATTCAGGCTTTTAGGGGTTCCCCCTCATATAATTACTCATAATATGGGCTGGATGCAATAGCAAGTATGTAGCAGTGCATCTAGCTTGTATGATTTGAAAATAATGCAGCTGCTCCAATTCCATTCTTGAAAGCTCTTTCTCCCCATCACGTTCAACCTATAACATCATGTAAAACCCCCATTAGAATCAATCCTTTCATAAAGGATGAGATGGCAAACTACAGCCCACAGGACAAATCCGACCTGCCACCTGTTTTTGTATGACTAAGCTAAGAATGTTTTTCACATTTTTACACAGTTGAAAAAAATTGAAGTGAGAATAATATTTTGTGACACATGAAAACATGATATTCAATTTATTTCTTTATTGGAACTCAGCCACTTCAATTTGTTTATGAATTGTCTCTTGCTGGTATCATGCTACAACAATAGTTGCGAAAAAGACTGTATGACCCACAGAGCCTAAAATATTTCCTACTTGGCCTTTAACAGAAAAAGTGTGCCAATACTTGGGTTCATGTATTGAAGGATCCAATTAAAATGTGTAAGTTGCCTGAGAAAAGTAGCAGAGTGTGCTATTATCTATCTGTCATCAACACTGAAACTTGGATTTGATTATTTGACCTGTTTCAGCCACCCAGGAGGGGCCTGAGAAAAAGAGTATAAATCAAAAGAATTTTTATAAGGAAAAGTGAGGAAGGCAAGTCTAAAGCAAGTATCCTTGACCTTCTCTGGGGAGAGGAGCTACATTTAAGTAGTACTAAACTTTGAAGTCATGAGTAGATGCCATGGAGAACAGGCAGCAGTACTTAGAAGGAACCTGGTGAATGAACAGTATGAAGGGTAGGGGTGGGAGGAGGTCTGCCCATGCCCTGTGAGAAGAAAGGAAAAGAGTAGCTTCCTGCCCGAATCGCTGCCTCATGGCTTGACACTGCAAGTACATGGGAGTTAAAAAGAAGGCAGCCCAACAGAGGCTAAGACCCTGCCACACAGTGGGCCAGGCTTCCTTCTCATGATTTCTACTCTGATGAGCTTTGGAGATTCAACCTTGTCAATACTTAGGTGGGCAGAACTACCCATCTGAGATAGGGAGGTGATTGG